CACTTGATTTAAAAAATTGAGAAAAGATCTGAATGGTTGCCAGTTATATTAAAGACAAATATTAGAATAAAGTAATAATCGATCTGAGGAATTGTTTCATAAATATCTATTTTAAAAAAAGTACTGCGGCCAGATACCGGATATCTGGCTGAAAGATTGGCTGGATATCCGGTATCCGGCCAAATTAAGATCCGTTGCATCACTAAACTGAGCAATACCCAATCATAGAAGAAATTAGTGCAGATGTAAGTATGACATCATGGAAACTAATTCTCTTGGTTGAACTGGAAATTTTCAGTTGTAACAAACCAGCTGTCCAAAGTGATCAAGCTAGTTTTTTTTTTTTTCAATTGGATTATTGTTCATATTTATTTCATAATGCTCAGTAGTGTGCATTACATTTGTTTTTACTTTAAGTAAATGCATCGTAAATAAAAAAAAATTTTTATATACATTGGACTGCTCTGCTATATTCTCAAACTGAAAAACTTGGAGTTCGATATAACAAAATACTGTGAAACCTCTCAGGAGCAACCACTCTTCATCCCCCAGTAAAATGATCATTGATGGAAGTTAATTGTTGTTCTTATAGGTTACCTCAATCGACTTCCAAATTGTTATTGAAAGTAGACTATTATAATTTTAATGAGTGTCATTTTCTTGGTGCGGAAATACCATTGTTGTTAGCGTCACGAAAACACAGATCAACTTAAAGGGTCCATAAAACAAACTGATATATGTAAAAATTAATTTATGAATTACGAATGGTAAAGTTATTTTAAATAGATAAATAACTATGTTTTTGTTTATGTTCGCATTGAATTTTATATCATAAAAATTAATTAGCTTTAAAAGATTTAGGTTTCTTTCAGATGCTTGTTTTTTCCTAAAATTACTTTTTTTTTAATAATATAACTTTCAACTCTAAAAGTAAATCATTGATAGCTTCACCTTTAGTGCATTCTGACTGCAACATGAGGTTGTATTACCAAAAAGAGCACTCTAAATAAGAACCTCACACAAATATTTTGAATGCATTTCAATCAACTAATATACTCGAATTTTTTGTTTTGATATTATTAGGTGTTTCCTAATTTGAGCATTTGGCGCAGATGCTTTCCCGATTGCTAGGAGAGGTTTAAATGGTCTCTCTTAAAGGTTTTCTTCAACACAAAGTCTATGAAAAAAATTCTGTGCCTCCCAAAAGTGGTCACTACATAGAGGTGGTCTTTTCTGGAGGTTGAAAAATGATAAAAAATGATTAAACTAACCTTTAAATTTTCTGAAGCCATAATGGTGTAAGTACAAAAGACCTATCATCAAAGAGAAAAATTATTTTTTAAGTACTGAATACTATTTCTTAAAAAATTCATAAATATCAATTTATAATCATATAATGTACATAATATCAGATAATTTTAAGAATTGATGTTACAGAAAGTATCAAACTTAAAGTAAAAATAACCATACTTATCCACGCATGCAAAAAGTCTTCATCGAGTTATCAGTAAGGGTCTTATCAATGGAACAACATGTTAACAACTATTATCTCAAGTCATGCATAAATACCACCGAAACAAATTTTGCCAAAATAATTTAAACATTTTTATAAATATACATATTGCAATGTTTTTGCCATAACCTGAGAACTTTATATTTCTTTTCTCATATTTTATTTTATAACCCTCGTTGAACAGCCGACCCAATCTTTTCTCATATTAAAAAATATCATAACTGTAAGAAATTTACAATATTAAATCATTAATATATTTTTGCCTGTAGTAACAGTATAGGAATTAAAAATTGCTCTGCTTCTATCATTTAAGTCAGTGTTTGCATTAAAAAGAAAGGGTAAGGGGAAAAAATCCATATAATAAACATGTCACTACATCATATTAAAAAAATCAGGAAATCCATCAGAAAAGTCACATCAAGATCTAACAAAAATCTATCAACAGAATCAGTGTATTTAGCATTCAAGAATTAAATAGTTTTGAATTAAATAGTGATTCAAGATTTGCAGGTCCTATTGATATTGTATAAAAAAAACTTTTAAAAAAAAAAAAAAATCATAGCACATGTAGGAAGGAATTTGTAGTCAGCACTTGTAGGAATAAAAGATAGAGAAAAAAAAGGTAGAAAAACAACATAGGCTAATGATAAAATTACTGTGAATTTAATGCTTCAAAATTTACATGATATAATAGCCTATTAAAAAATTGAGATTGCAAAAAACGATTTAATACTTTAAAATTGAAATTTACTATTTCTAAAGTAAATATACATTATCTTCTTATTTTATTTAATAACTGTAATTTCGTAGCCTTGTAATTTCGAACCCATTCCAGAAGACAAGGGAAAGTATTGGGAGAAATTTGCCTTTGTGGGAACTTTTTGGGGGAACTAACCCGCATTTGTGTTACATGGAGAGGAAAACCTCTTACGGTTAGCTTTACCGCAGACGGACTCTAACCCACAATTCATCTACCACAGGGGATATTTTACCTCAGCACTGAGGTCGGTGAAAGCCAGATATGGAATTTGTATCGACCAGTCAATGCTGTCATTCGAACCCAGTTCACCTCATTGGAAGGTGAACGTGTTATCCCTTGAATTGCGTGCTTGCATGGCTCAGGTTTTTTTTTTATTACCCTTGTTTACCATGTCACATTTTTGTTTCACTAAATGAATAGTAAAAAGGTGGTGCTTTTGCACCTTTAAATTTTCAATTTTGCACCTTTAAATATCAACTCTAGTTACTAGATAATGTTTACACAAGAAAACTCCTTAATGGTTTATAAAAAATACATAATGACTTAAAAAATTTAATAAGGGCAAATATCAAAATACTACTAAAAAGTCATCTATTGTAAAATAAAAAAGGTAAAATACCTAAAAAAATTTAGATTCCATTTAAAAAGAAAAACCACTATGAAAATTAAATTAAAAAAAAAACAAAACATATATATAGCTATATGTAATTAGACACTATGAACATCCTTTTAAAACTGTATTCATGAAAATCACTAAGATACTACTTATGGATTATGTTTTCTCAGTTTTTATTTATTTTTAACAGAGCCATAATATTCATAATTTGGGACAAACTCCTACAAATAAATTCAAATTTCACAACATTCATCTTAACAGTTGGTGCATTCATTTGTTGACATATCAATTAGAATATTTTTTATAGATTATTTTGTAAAAAAATAGAAAAAAAAGGTTAGAAATTCCTGATATAAATATACCCAGAAGTAGAATATTTTCAAATGTTCTGCAACAGGACTTATTAATTTATACAAATGTTCTGCAAGCATTTCACAGCGAAAAAAAGTGAACTTTACGTTAAAATACTATATTTTCATTTATTAAAATATAGGATCATACACAGATACACTACATTATTTTTTAAACCAAGGCAAACGTTCTTGATTTGTTACGTTTTCAATCATTTTTGAAGTAAAAAATTTTGTTAATGACGATGATGAATTATTAATAAAATGCCTTTGATATGAAGGTCCGAGCATTAAAATAAGGGCTGCTTTAAAAATCTTTCGAAGGGACAAGTGCCCAGATAATGCACCATTTGCAAACACAGACATTCGCTGGTCTGTTGTTCCAACAACTTCTTCATCTCCATCGAAAGCATTTGGTCTTTTAGAAACAATTCTGTCAATCGTGGATCCCCACGATTCACAAATTGTTTCTGAAATGGGAATAGAAAATATAAAAATTCATAAACTTTATGAAATTTGAAATCTCTGAATTTAATTCTTTTACGGCTTGCTTTAGAAGCTCTCTTGATAAAAATGGTTACAGAAGATTCAAGATATAAATTGTTCTGCAGGACTTCGCTTGTTCTGCGACGTACCTCACAATTTTAGGCACTTTCTGCTTCTGGGTAAATATATAACATGCTGTAAAAATTGTAGTACCTCATAAAATGCTTATTCCATGCACAGTTTAAATAAGTGTATTATACTTAAGATAAAAAAGCTTACTTCAAAGCTTTGTATTTAATAGAACAAATTCTTACGGGATTTAATTAAGATTAAAACACAAAATTATCATCCATGAGAAGAAGCACTTTAAAATCTGTCTGCGGAGCAAGTTTCCGTATTAGGACAATCTAAAATCATTCATAACTTTTTTAAAAATGTAGATAGAGAGAAGATTTTTTTTCAGTGCATTTGTAATAGTTTGAATTTTCATTATAAGCAATAAAAAAAATCTATATTTTTGTCATTTTTTGGGTATTGTACCCTTAACACTAGATATATTGATTTTTCAAGCTTGATCAAAAAAGATAAAGATTTATCTTTATTTAACAAAAGAAACCATAAAATTATTTGGTAAAATGATAGAACCTGTCAAGAGAGTACTATTGTAATAAAAACCTAAAATCATTATTAAAAGCTGTTTCAGAAAAATATAATGTATAAAAAACATTCACTAGATTTCAGATTTTTTACAGCCTCGAGAAACAGAGTTGTACCACAATTTAAAGAGCATAACAGGTTCTTCTTAAAAAAATTTGATTAGATAGTAATAAATTTTCACTTTTCAGTTAAAAGAAAATAGATAATTACCTTGTCTTCACATAAATATAGGAGAATTAGGACTTCTCAAGCACAGTAGCACCAGTTAAATTAAAAGAACACAATTAATATACTCGGTAATACAGCATTTGCTCTGTAAACGACTCCATTTCTCAAAAAAAAAGGAATTTAGAATAAATTCAGGACGCTACAAATTATTGCACCACGCCCCTTTTATCAGAACCGGCAAAAATAAAACGCTCACAATGTTAAATTATTATGTGAAAAGTTTATTAATCAATTTTTATAACTAATTTTTTTTTAATAAAACATCAGTATTTCTGTTTTAAATAATACTAAGTATTCTGAATACGAACGACTTTCTGCTTCCGTGTTTGTTTTCATCGAAATGCGCTTCCAGCTGCCTATTTCTGCAAGTTTAAACTCAACTCAACTTGAAAATCAATTTCTTTGTAAAGGCAAGACTGAACTTAATCGCAACTGTTTCGATTCTAATAAGCAGTCTCAAAAAATATAAACAACAAGAAACTCGTGTCTTGTGGCTAAATTAATTTATTCTTTTCATTAATTACAACTTTACTTCGGTAATATTATGTCTCTAATTTTTTACATATTCTTGAAAATTATATACTTCAAATTGCTGCTATTACTTTTTTGTAATTTTTTAAACATAAGTTCGAATAATCTTGTTGTCGCAATATACTCATTTCAATATAGTCAATTTTTTTTTCAGTGTAATGATTATAATACACCTTAATAATATTTATCAAAATTTAATTGTATTATGATGTGCTTAATCCTGCTTGATGTATCTAAAAGCAACAAGATGAATGTTATAATGGTTACAAAATAAGAAATTATTCAAATTATAATTAAGTTGTTAAATAGCTTACTGATTAATGTCATAAAATATGAATTCATTATTAAGAGCATTTTTATTAGCTTTTTGTGTAACATAAAATCAGCGTTTCTACTGAGAATTGTCAGGGAAATGGAATTAGGGGAAACAAATCAGGAAACGTTAAATTTTATAAGTTTATCTAGATTAGAAAATTAATTTAAAGAAAACTTTTTTTCTTAAATATTTGTTTGAAAGTCTTGCAATTCAATAATACTATGTTGTTTTTTTCTGATTAAACTTTCTATCTAAATATAGTTTTTGCACACGTAAGTTCTATGATTGCTGACTACTTTACTTTACTCAATGTAACATAGATCAATAGTCTCTATTGATCTATGTTACATTGAGTTTTATTTATCTATTTATTTTTGCAAAATATCAATTATTTATCTGATAATGATTTATATTTTTGAATAATCTAAATTCTACATGTTAATTCACTTGCAGAAATTAAAATGTATGATTTTATTTATTTTTTATTGCAAACTAGCTTCAAACTCGAATTCTTTGTCATGGAATGAAAAATCACTAGTAATTCTTCCCAATAAATATCACCTATTTTTTTATTATGGTATTTTATGGTTTGCTATTATCATGGTATATCAGGAAAAAATGTTCATTATTATTTACGATAGTAACTTTTTGTTATAAATTTTTCTTGGGAAAATAATTCCCAAACTTGTGGTTTTGGTGAGGGCAGGGTTTATGACCCACCCACAAAGCCGTAAAACCCTTGATGGGTTTTTTTAATAAACAATCCACTAAAAAAAGTTTTTCTCCTAAATAAGTAAGTTTTCAAATAGAAATTTTTAAAAAAAGGATATTTAATTATTATAACGAAATATAGTCTAGATTTTAATCTCAAATTTTTAATCTAGTCTATTATTAATACCAGCATGAAAAGAGGATACTACATTAAAATTAAAGCTATTTTCTTATTTTAATTAATTATTTTATTTTCCCATGAAAGTTTTCTTTTTAACTAAAAGTTTTCGTTTTTGAATTAAAATTTCAACCTAAAAAGTGTAAGACTGAGTAATATCTTGAAAAGTTATCCCCCCCCCCCCAAAAAAAAAAGTTTTTTTTGATGGGGGGGGGTGCCTAATATCTCAAAATGAAAACTCAAACTATAAAAACTCAAAATTTTGATTCGATTGTATACATATTATGCAAAGGCCTTCTAGGACTTTCCTTAGATAACACAAGAATACTTTTTTTTTTTTTTTAACTGAAACAGCTTTCTTCTTTTTAGTGATGGCAAAAAGTTTGAGAAGCAAATGGAAAAGAAAAATGAAAGCAGTTAAAAGGGTGAGGTATGGAGAAAAAGAACTGAAACGTTTGAAAAGTATTCTTCCAAACCCAGTAGCTATTGATGTTAATATGTCTGATATATGCACAGGTATTTTCCATATTAGACTATTAATTTTGTTGAAGTTAAATAAACCTTTCTTAAACTTAAATGTAGGAATATTTGTAGTTACTTTTTGAATATTTTATGTATTAAACTAGGGGTGCACAACCTTTTTGAGTGAAGGGTTACCAGGGGTCTGCCCAGGCCAAATTTAATACCGTTCTGCAGTGCCTTCCCAAATTAAATTCAACAAGGGAAAACAGTAGTTTCGCTAAATACTTTTTCTTAAAATTTTATTTTTATATCCTGTATGAAATGATAAACCATATTTGATTTTGACCATAATTTTGTGTTGTTTTTTAATGTAATTTTTAATTTTCACAAATTATGTATACATTTTCACATAATAGGTACCTCTCAGAAAAACCTAGACAGACCCCTGGGCCCTTGCGCAGCAGTTTGACTAACAAAGGGCCGCACATTTATTTAGACATGATGTACTTTATTATTTCTTTTTATTAATTATTAGATTTTTTAGTGTCATAAACGTTTTCTTTTTTTTTTTACCCCAAAAGATCACTTAAGCAACAAAAAATATGAATCAAAATTACAAACAGTTAGCAGTTTAAAAATTTACGTTTTCCGCCACTTTGTAGATTTCTCAGGTTGCAATAGCATTGCATTAAAATTAGGAATGTAACGAGTATTTGGCCTGTTGCAAAATATTCGGCAGAGTATTTTTTAGAAAAGTATTTTTCTAAGTTTTTTTCTTATTTGCATAGATATGATAAAGAATAATATAAAATCATATTTTTAACTATATTATGGTATTATTTATTATATTAAATAGTTTTTACTCAAATTTGTTAAATTTTAAAATCTATGTTTCTGCACATGCCTTGCAAATTTATCCTCTGGAAGAGAAATGGAAATCTGAAGAGTTGAAACTGATTACTTTGTACTGAACCACAAATTTTTGTACTTCTACTTTTTTTTTTTTAAGAAAAAATTATACTCAAACAAGTCAATTTCTTCATTTTTGGATACTTTTAATTCTAAGAATTGAGAAGGATTTTTTAAAGACATTTTAAAGGAATGTCTCATACTATTAATTCATTGTCATTTTTTCCCTGTACTGAAATATAGAAAACTGTGATTTTCAGTATTAAAGTTATGTTTTTGGAACTAAGAACAATTTATTTTTCTGTTTTTCTTTTTAATTAGCTTTTCTTCTTATAGGCATTTTTATCATGGCACAGCATTTTTTTTAATGAACATTGCAAATAAACTTTATTTTATAGCATTTTTTTTTCTTCTAAAAATACATCAATGTAAAAAAATTTAACTTGAGATTTTTAGCATAAGGAGCAAATTATGATTTTTAGCTTAATTTTAAAAAATTAAGAACGTTTCTGTTTCTATTTAGCTTTTCCGTNGTTCAAGTTATTCTTATGCCTCAGCCACCCAAGCAACTGGAATTACAAGTGCACATCACCAGGCCTGGATTTTTTTTTTTTTTTTTAATGTTTACTTTTTTATTGTGTTTAGAAGATCTTGTGGGCCACACCTCAGTAGTCGGCAGGCCGCATGTGGGCCACAGGTTGTGCACCCCTATATTAAACCTATATCTTAAACCTTCTTATATGGGACCTCAGAACCCACAGTTTTAAATAAATAAAATTTTATTTGTAGTTCTATTTTTCCAGAACTCATCGCTATTTTAAAAATGACTGCCATATTTATCACAAGTATTTGCTTAAGTTATACTTCATAATTTATCTAACAATTAAATATTTTAAATAATTGATCAAAATTGTGAGAGGGGAGATTGATTTTCGGAATATTATGCTGTTATTTTCTAAATACAGTAGAACCCCAACTTTACGTTGCTGCTTTGTACGTTATCACGCTTGCTTCACATTTTCTGCTGGGCTGTGAAAATTGCCTATACATATAATGTTAAATTATTCCAGATTTTATGTTCCCCCTTTTTAGAAAATCCTGCTTTATGTTTTTTCTCATGTATCAAAATCACATTTTCAACAAAGCTCGCAATAACTTTTTCCAAGTTTTTTCTTCTTTAACGTGTATATATTTTTTTTTATGTGTGTTTGAAGCTGTTGTGACATTCTTTCTTATTGTGTCCTTATGTCTATGAGAGAGGATTTCCTCTTTGAGTCAAAGAAATGTGGGGTGGCAAAGCACACGGAAGTTAAAGGAAGTATGGGAACTAAAATTATAAAACTTTTGATGGGAATTGTTTTCATCAAACTTCAATTTTGAAGAAATCCAATCACTTGAAGAACATTACACTAAACAACTGGATATGTTTTTTTTTTTTCCTGTGACCTGCAAAATTTTTTTAGAGCATGATTAAATTATCAGGAAACTCTGAATTTGATTTTTACAGTGTTGGCTAAAATGCATTACAAATGGGTCTGATCAAGCAGGTTACGTAGTATCTTATCAAAAAATTGGCCTTTCAGAGTAAAATTACATGGCGGAGATCTTTTCAAATTGATGACTCGTGTAACGACCGCAACACATCCCTTTGCTTTTCGATTCCTTCAATATCTGATTTAGTGCCTGCTCCCAATGATAGTGATAAAAACGATGAAGATGAATGAAAAATATCAAAGGATATGCATACTAATGATCAAGAGTTCCAAAGCATAAGAATTCTGAAACAGGATTTGCTTTTGTAAACCAAAAAGCAGATTTGCAAACAATATTAAGCATTCTTTGGAGTATTGTTGAAATAATATCTAAAAATAAAAAACTAGCAAATGTTACATATTTATTCTACTGTTTAATCTCGTAAATGTCAATGTTTAAAAAATATACTTTTTTTTACTCTGAATTTTAATTTTTTTCGCTTTGTGCGTATTTTAACAGTGGTCTTGCAGGAAATGTATAATCGGGGTTTCACTGTATTATAATTAGATATATATTTATAATTAGTTGTATGTATTAATATGGAATTATAATTTTTAATGGTAACTTATAACTCTTTTAAAATTGGGTTAAGTGTTATAGATAAGTGTAAAGAGTGTTAAAATCAAAAATTATAGAAATTTGAGTACACCAATTTAGGGTTTAATCTCCAAGCTGGAGGAAAGTTCAAAATTGAATTTGATTGCTTTACTGCTCAGTTTTTGAGGCTGTTAAAGTATTTGGATGTTAATGATATTTTTTACTATCACTTTCTCTCTAGTTCTCCCTAAAGGAGCATTGAGTAAAAACAGTAAACCACTCAAAGATGAAGAAGGATGTTCTCAGACTAATAAAACTAGTGAGTTATTCAAAATTAATTATATATTTTTGATATTATTGGATTTAACTAATTTATCTATTCTGTGTATTGTTGTGGCTTATAGACAGGTTTATTACATTTCTGATCATCTGAAAGTCAGATATAAAATTATACTTGAATCATATCCAATGTCCTTGTGTATTATAATTATTTCAAATTTAAAACAATTAACTCTTTACTTTAAACACATTTAAATTGTATTCTAATTCTTAAATTAGCAAGGTTTGGATTTTAATTTGATAAATATAATTTTTCAGATGCGCACAAGGTATATAAGTAAGCGATTTATAATAATTATATAAAAACGTATAGTTGATCAAATGTGCTCTTTTTAGTCTTAATTTGTTGCATCATAAATAGCAACAAAAAAAATAATAATCATAAATAGCAACAAAAATGCTTTCCACAATCCCATTAAATGTCTCTAAAGTATTAAATAAATTATTTTGACTTAAAAGAAGAAAATATATGTTTTTTAATCTATAACCATTTTACCCCACCTGTCCTTATCAACTCCCACCAGCAAGTCTCTTTAAAAGGGCATTTCGACCTGAAACATTTATAATTATTTTGAATACCTGTTTGTTCCAGCTGAGTTCTATGTCTAAAATAATACCCAATACTTGCCACAGTTAGTTCTCTGATGGGATTTGGCTGTTGTGTTGTTGTAAGTAAAAAGCCCAAAGTTAGTTTTGTCAAAAAGCTCAGTTCTGATTCAAAAATAGAGAAATATCAGTAAGATTTTTTTTTTTTTTTTTTAAGTGTGGAAAATAAGTTCTTGTGAGAGTATAAAAACTTGAAATGTGTAATACTGTATTTTTTTTTCCTATGCACTTGTTTAAATGTGGAACAGTGAGTCTGCAAAGAGGAAACAAGTATTAAGAAGAATGCTGCTAAATTTACAATTTTACTACTCCTATGCAGTGAATTTGTTAGAAATAACAAGTTGTGCTTTTAGATTTGCTACACACATAATGTGTGTGTGTATGAACAGGCTGATCTCTATTGACTGTCAGTTCATGTTGCACAGTACAGTTTCAATTTACTCCATGCATACCTGTAACAGTAACAAGCAAAGCATTATTTTTACTAATATAACGTTTTCTAGCTATTTACAGAATAGCCTTTTCGATATTATTTTTGCTTTTACTTTGTTTGAAGATTTTACTATTCGGTTAAATGTCAATACTTTATTTTAGTGTTTAAAAAAAAAAATATTTTTTTTTGTAATCTCTCTAATAAGTAAATGTCTAAATAATTTCATAATATAGAATTTTTAAAGTAAAGAAAATTGTTACTGTGTAACCAAAGTTTGAATTAAAAAAAAAATTTAAAACTGTTAATAGCCATAATTAAATTTTTATTTAACATGTTTTTTAGGGTCAATACTAAAAAAAAAGGAAATTTCTTTTCTCAAAGAAAAGCAAAGAATTGCAAAAGAAAATAATGAAGATGAAAAATGCAGTGCAAATGGTAAATAAATTTTTTTTTACTGTATTTTCTTTGTCTTGCTCATACATCTTTCCGGGTAAATATTTCTAAAATATTGATTCCTCAATTGTTACTCTGTTATTACATGATAACCATTAATTTTTAATAATAGCTATACATTTTTCTATGATTACTATTCAGTTCATTAATTGAATGTGGTGAAAATATTGCAGTTAAATTAAATATCGATAGTTATCAAAATAAAAGGGGGAAACTAAATAACTTACATTATAGTGAATAGTAATTCATATCTTCCAACTCTTTCCTTGAACCCACAAGATTTCCAGTTTTTTTTTTTAACAATTCTTCGGTCTTCCGATTTACAGCTAATGTCCTCAGACACTGTTGCACAACAACTTCGACTTGCGTCAAAAACATATCGTGTCTGAAGAACCAATCGAATTCCACCAATGTTTCTAGCACGTGATCGAGCAAGCGCATAGGCTGGATCGTATGCTAAGTGAATATCGGGGGGAATTTCTCGGCAAAGAGTTAATTCAGATTTTTATATGCAAGATTTTTTCACTGACGACCACTAATTGCATATTTATTTATTTATTGATTTTTTAAGAAAACTTTTACTCTACTTATTATTTTTTATTATTGTATTTTTACTTTTAAAATTTTTAGTGCTCTTAATTTGTTTTATGAAAAAACAACTTATATTTAGAAACAAGATTTTGGAAAAGTATGAAATGAGGGCCTTCTTATATTTTAAATGCAGCAACAAATCTTATGTTATTCAGATTTGTCATTACAGGAAATTTTCATTCATCGTTCAATGATTTGAGTTAAAAACAAGTGAAATAAATAAAAAAAAATTTAAAAACTCAATTATTGCAGATTTGTTAAATATTATGTGTTTGGGAACCACATAATTTACTTCTGACAAAAATGTTTAACTTCAAGAATTATTGACTCAATAACTTATTATTTCAAAATTATTTAATTTTTTTTTTCATTATTTCGTTATAGAACTGCTGAACAAAGTGACAAATTTAGATAAAAATTTATTAGGGGTCATTCACTAATTTACATTTGTACTATGAATTTATTAAAGTTTTCTTAGTTCTTCACTTATCTTAATAAATTGGGTATGGTCAATAATATTAATCTTGTTAATATTCTGTTGATTATGCTTTTATAAATAACTTTTCTTTAAATCTAAAAAATACACTCGATAACCTTTTTAAATAATAGTTAAGTTAATTATAATTTTGAATTTAATTATTTTATGTAATTATATAAAGTAATTATTAATTTTAAAAATAAAATGAGCCACTCAATTTTTAATATATTTAAAATTTTGTGTGACTGGTTTTTAGGCTAATATAATTAGAAAAAGAGCTATTTGTCATAAATTAGTCATTTAATAATGATCATGTGAAGTTCTTTGAAAACTATTTTGCATTTTTATGTATTTATGAAGTATGTATTTATGCATTTTTATGTATACATTCAAAATATCACTTTAACTTTTTAATATTGGGGTATTTTTAGAAAGTGACCATAAAAGAATAATTCATTAGATCTGCTATTTAAGAAGTGTTGACCTAATATTTGGCCAATTATTCAGCCAAATTTTCGGCATAGGGGCTGAATATTTGTTTCATCCCTATTATGGCTTTTAACCATTTTTCTTGAACCTCAAAGAAATGTTGGCCATGAGAGATTTTTCAGCTCTTTCTAGCCTTAGAAAACTAATAAAAACAGAAGTTAACTGACAAAAATCATTGTAAGATTATTTTTCATGCTTTAATTTTATTTATGTATTCATGATTAATCTGCTTACATGCCATTGTATGTTTCTACAACAAATGCAACTACAATTAAAATATTGTTTAATTGGCTGTATTTAAAACCTTTGTTGTGATATACCTATGCTGGCCTGTCTCCAGACTAAAACTTTGTATACACCTTTCAGGGAATCAGAGTTCAAAAGTTATCAAGAATAATTTACAAACAGGCAAAAAAAAGTTTGTGTTTTAAAAGTGAGGTTTTTATCATAGTTTAGCAAATAATTAGGAAAAAATAAAAATAAAAAAATTGGCAAAAAGCAAAATAATGAATTTGCATTGCTTGCAACACCAAGTCACGGAACAAATACTTATTTTGTTATTGTTTGCTTCAAATTTGGAAATTGTCGTCGCTTTGTTATCCTCTAATTTATTTAAAGTCTGAAATTATAAATCTTTCTGATAATTTCAATCAACAGGATTTTCATGTAAAATATTTTAAAACGCAACAGTTGAAAATGATTTCGATGTAGTTTTTTAGAAAAAGCCTATTCGTAATATCCTAGTAAAATGGGCTGTTAAAAAGACGTCTTTATACTCCGGAACATTGCAAGTCGGTCAAAGTTCATATGTTGCAAAACACTGGTGAATACTTAAAAATGTCAAGCAGAGTGAGGTTATTCAAACAAAAATCATAATAAATATGCTCCAAGGAAACAATTTTGATGAAGGTGGCAATTGGTCTACCTTGATACCTCTAGAATTTGAAACTCTTTATCTCAAATTTTTTCCTTTCCCATTAGTGTACATGTATTATATTTAATGGCACTTTTCTTTTTAATGGTTTTAAGCAATTTAAAATTGGTCCATGAAAACTTAAGTTTTATCTTATTTTTATAGAAAGCATGGAAATAGACGAATCCAAAAGAAAGTATCATCCAAAGAAGATGATCGATGAGAATGGGAATTATCCGATATGGATGAATAGAAGAGCAATCAAAAAGCTTAAAGAGAAAAATCGTCGTTTAAATCAGAAAACAAAGAAAAATAAAAAGAAACATGTGTAAACTTATACAGTTTAATAAATGTTGTACATATACCTGTTTTTGTTATTATTATTCTGTATTTTGAGTTCGTCCATAGAAGTAAATGCATGACTCATTGGTCAATTGCATTTTTCTTCTGCATCTAAAGGTAATGCATATTTTGTCTTTAAAACTGAAATTTGTATTACAAAGCTGTAGATATGTTTCATTCACATAAATATTTTTATTATGCTTCAAAAGTAGAATTTTTGCAACAGTCAAGGAAAAGAATAAGTGCTCTTTTCATACTCTTGTAATTCTTTTACTTTCTTAAATATATTACATTTTTCTTATTATTTAGTCTTTTTTTTTTTTGTATAGTTTAAATGCTCTTACTTCTTATCATTGTAATATTTTATCTAATTTTACACCTAAAGAAACTGAAGTTAATTATAAGATGATAAATTATAAATTTACTAGATGGTTATAATTATATAGGTAGATGGTTAGTAAATCGCTTAACCAATGAGATTATAATTACTATTTTATCAAAAAATTGAAAGTCTTAATGAAAGATCATTATTTATGAACTAAAAAGCGTATGATAAAGAATGCTTATGAGGAAAAAACGATCCTAAAATTCTTCTTATTGAAATAAGAAAATTTCAGAATATTTTTTTTAGTCTTAGAGTTCTAAATCAGACATAGAAACAGACATTGTAGAGAACTAAATCAGACATTGTAGAGAACTATCATAAAATTAGAAGAAGAAAAAATCATAACAAGTACCTACTTTATGAATTCCGAGAAATCTTAAATTAAATGTTCTTTGAAAATTTTGTTCTCAAATAATATATTCATAGATTATCCAGTCATTACTTTTAAGATGACATACCGCATAATAAAATTTTCTAATTGTAAGATCTCGATATGAATTTCAATATGATTAATTTCATGCTGAAATTAATCATTCAAAATTTTTAAAAAAATACTTACCAAGAAAATGATAAAAATTTATTAATAATCGACACAAATGATGCTATTTCAAGTAATTCGGATGATTCTTTATTGTTGTTTTTTGAATTATATGGATACAGAAATCTATACTAATATATAAAAAGGAAGAATATTCTAAAACTATTACAGTTTTGCACTTCTGAAATCACATTTGTTCATATAAATGAAATAAGCAATGTGGAATTAAATAACTTCCCTTCAATTTATAATGATTTAAGGACAATAAAAATGCACTTTATCTTACCCGATCACGATATCGGGAGTTATCAGATGAAAGTTTGTTTATAATGGAAAGGAAAAAATTTATTGAAATTGTTCTAATGTTGGGCGCGTTAAAGTTAAGTTCTCCTGCCTTTACCTTAGGGAAATTTTGCTGCTGAAAAAATGGTTCCCTACTCTACCAATGATTCTGATTGAACTAAATGCAATCTTAATAAATAAAAGACTGAAAAAATCCTCCCAGCGATCGTGAATACAAATAAATACCTCCACTCCATTACTTTTGCTTTCTAGTACATAGCTTATTTCAATATATATAGCAAATGTAAAATAAACTTACATAGCAAATATAAAATAATCAAATATTTAAATATGATAAACTATTTTTTGATCAAATCGTGCTATAAGCTAGCAATTATCACTTATCTTTAAAATATGTGAAAATTGAATTGTTAAATTTAAAACAATGGCTAACACTTAACCAATCAGAAAATTCCATTTCGCTTGAACGGTTTGCCCTAGAAAGTTCTAATGTCGACAGTGATCTTCCTCGTGCTTTGAACTATGTATGCCAAGTTTCATAGCTTTCGGTAGGATGGTTTAGGAGTCTATAAAGGACACACAGACATTCAAATCAGAGTAGAAAAACACTTCGAAAATCAGAGTAGAAAAACACTTCGAATTCACTCATAACTAAAAAGCATATACCAACACAATTAAAGAGCTTGATGGAAGAACCAGATAGTGACATTTTCAGGAGAATTAATGAATCATTGCATTTGCCTTCCTTTTTCTTAACATAACTAATCACATAAATTTTTAGTAAGCCAGAAAGTACTACTAACTTGGTAATAAAATAGTTTGAATGCAACCTTTTTTTCATTCTGAAAATTTCACTTACCTGATTCTTCCACTAAGTTTTTCAATTAATATAGCTAAAATAATTTTTTATTTTTTTTTATTCAATATTTGTTGCCCGTTTTGATGGCTTTATGTTATTGACGTAAGTAAAACTTGTTGTTTGTAGTTCATCCCATTGGAATAAAGATAAAATGTATTTAGCTTCACTTGGCATGATGCTATTACATACGGCCAAATCATAGGTCAAAGTATTTTCAAAGATACCTTTATCATATTGGTCACTGGCTGCGGTCAGTGTGCGGGTGGGTGACCACTTGGATCAGTCTGCGTAGGGACCGAGGGTGTGGGGTATTGGTCCTCGTTAAACTGTTCTACCGAAGCGGGGGTGCCATCCCCTCTGCAGAGGATCAAAATTGTGATGGCATGTCTTCGGATCATCCTCATGGATGTTTCCCAGACCGTCGCCAATAGCCCATTGTGCAGCTCTAGTGCGACGTAAATGAGCTACAACAACTATCTTACCTATTACTGATAAAATATTTATAATTAGTAGAGAAACTAAGTTCTTTATTTTCAAATCCATTAAAATATTAATACACTATCTTTACCACTGAACAAAATATTTTCCGTAATCACGGAAATAATTGTGTAATCAGCGTACTAGGTTCAAGTACCAAAGTTCATGCTCTGGCGAACCAGTAAACTGCAAAGTATCATCAATGTATTTTAGTAATCTCCTTCAAGAAGTATAAAGAACTGAACTGAATTTCAAGTGAATGAAATGTGATATACCATCTTAAAACTTTGTTCTTTTCTCTCTTTTGTGGTCTTTGGTTCTACGTGTTTGAATATAATCCTAGAAGTTTTTAATTTAGTTGTTAAAATATTATTGAAGTTATTTTATTTTATTTTATAACCGTCGTTGAACAGCCGACACAATTTCATGGGTTTACGACTACTTACGTTCAACTCCGTAGCCTTGTAATTTTGAACCAATCCAGAAGACAAGGAAACTCCTGGATCAGTACCCCCAGAGGTATTGATTTGTTGTGGGAACATGGAGGACTTTGAGACTTGACAGATTTAACGTGCATCAGTCACCATTTACTACACGGGGAGTCTTCGGCCGGCGAGGATCGAACCCACGACCTCTTGGATATGGGCCCAGTGCCCTACCGACCAGGCTATCCCGGCCCCTATTGAAGTTATGTTTAAATTTCGTATTTTTTCTTTTTTTTATACTTGGCGATTGACTTATCTAAAATGCAGAATTTAATACACGCAACCTATTTCGCCAAAAATTCCTATCAAAACTGTGCCAATAATAATAATACCAGTAGAACATATTACATACAGTCAGTAGTACACAATAAATACGCGTCATCTGTAAATGGCGATTTTCTACGAATTTCCTATTAACTTTTTTTTTTTCTTTAACTTCGTATTTTAGCTCATAGCTTCTTTTATTTAATTTCAATTAATTCATATTATCAATATTAATTAAGCATTAATGTCAGTAATAATATCATGATTTTTTTACGGCTCCCCAAAATGAATAAAGTATACTTTCTCCATTATTACTGCTTTTTACGGTCCTTAGATAAATATCTTTACTCCATTACTTTTGCGTTCCACGTTCCAGTACATAGTTTATTTATTTTATTTTGATATGCATATATTACCTAAATTAATTAACGTACCTAAATTTGTCACTTTCGTCAATAATGATATGGCGATTTCTTTCACGTTTCTTCTCAGCGAATTAGTACCAGTTTTCCATTAATTTTGCCTTTCAATATATAAATATTTTTCTTTTATTCAATTACCGTTGATTTTATCGAATCATTCTTTAGATACACGTTTTAAAAGAATTAATATAAATTTTTAAAAAAAGCGCGTAGTATCACACAACTTTAGAAGTATAAATTTAGTGACATAGACCACGTGCTTCCACGTAATGTTGTTCATTTAATTCATCGGATGCAGCGAATATAAAATAGTTAAATATTCAAATCCGCGTAATAAACTATTTTTTTAATCAAATAAAGTTATAAGCTAAAAATTATTACTGATTTTATCTTTAAAATGCGTGAACTGAAATCTTTAACTGTTATCTATCTGTGTGAACTGTTATCTTTAAAATGTGTGAAAAACTGAATTGTACATACTAAAACTTAAAATTATGAATAACGCTTATACGAAAAGAAAATTCCATTTTGTATTTCACTCATTTCGCTTGAACAGTTCGTCGTAGAATGTTCTAATTGAAAGTTACCTTCCTCGTGCTTCAAACTATCTGTATACCAAGTTTCTGTCTTTCTGTTGGATGGTTTGGCAGCCTATAAAGAACACCCATACACGGACATTTATTTTTATCTATATAGATTAAGCAGTGTTAAATAAAATTAAGCAAAGAATTATTAGTCCCATCTATAAATAAATTGGTAATAAAATAAATCGGATACTTGTGTTCTTTTTCGTTCTGAAAATGTCACTTAACTGATTCTTTCACAAAGTTTTTCAATTAATATAACTAAAATAATTTCAATTTTTTGAAATTTAATTTTGTAATTTTCGATGGCTTTACGTCATTGAAGTGAAATTTATAGACTATATCAACCTTCATCTATCAAAACGTACCTCAAGATAGATTCGAGTTAACACGCTTTATATACTAGTGATTTGGTATTTAATATTTGTAGTGGTAGTTATACCACATTACTCCCCTTCCAGAAGTTTATCTGTGAGAGAATTCGATGAACGATTACCACTAGTTGATTCACGCTGTTTATATATTTATATCATTTTCGCTCATTTTTTACAGCATTTTGCTCATTATCTTTTCTTATTTTTGTTTATAGCATTTCGCTCATTTTTTTTTCTTCAATATTGTTTATTGATCGGGAGACTTTATTTACTTCACCGGATTTTTTTTTTTTGAGCAGTATATTTTTAAGCAAATCAACTGTTTAATGTGGATCCTCCATCAATATTGGCAAGTTCTTATCATGTCCGGGTCACCAATGAAGGGATTTATTTATAAACTATGTCAACCTTCATCTATCAAAAGGTACCTCAAGATGGAATGGAGTTAACAAACATGTCTTATATACTAGTGATTCGGTATTTAATATTTGTAGTGGTAGTTACGCCACAGAAGCAAGCAAAGCTTGTTGTTTCTAATTTATACCATTGGAATAAAGGTAAAATCTATTTAGCATTTCTTGGTGTGATGCTATTTCTCGCGAGCGATTCATGATAGTTAAAATTTATCTCTATTAAGTGATTTTCTCAGGTACATATCCCTTTCTTGGAGTCATAAAACACTTAATTCCAGAGTATATGCATAATAAAACTGATTGGCGCAGTTTTAAAAATGACAAAATATATCAATATATTTTAATATGTACCTATAAAAGTATATTTCGTACTTATTACATAACCCTTCAACATTTGAGTTAATACATATTTGTCAGTGGCAGCCAACTAAAACCGAATTTTTTAAAAAAATATATATATTCGAACTTCATAAGTATTACTGTTAATTTACTGTTAAAATATTTATAAACAGAGATGGAAAAAATTTCTTTAAATTATAATTCTTTAAAATATTAATACATGATCGGCTAACTTTACAGGTTATATGGATACTTGGGTGTCGTCCTGAGTATTACTTCCTTGAGAAGGAAGGACAAATATTTTATATTTTTGAACAGGGAAGAGATTCATATCGATGTCATTAAAATGATTTTTTTAAGTATTGTTCTTTTACCAAATGAAGGAAGTAGAAAATTTTAGACTAATTCTTAAATGAATATTTTGAGAAAATATTAAAAATTGTCGTCTACAATGGAGGTGTTTGAACCCTCTAAACTCCTCTCTTACCTAAGTCCCTGATTTCAGAACAGTTCGGAACTAACATTTGATCAGGCGATTTGTTTCTCGAATTAAAGTCAATCATGGCCTGTGGTGAAATAGTGTAGTGCTTCTTTCTGTCGAGAAATGAGATAGTCGTGACCGAGTGTCAGTGGTCACCTATATTCAGAAGGAAAGTAGGTGATGTTCATTGGCTACCTGTAGGATTTGAACCAGGACCTTCGTTATCGCGTAGCCAGATATTTTGCTATGGCCACGTATGGGTGTAGAGCTCGTATTGTAGCGATCGGGGTATAGCAGTCTAAATAATTAATAACTGCTTCTTCAGGTCTCAGATATTGGCGATCAAAATGGACTACAGGTGGTGTAAAGCAGAACTCTCTACCTATGGCAGCACTTAGCATGCATTCACCATTAGCGTGTGGAGAGTCATAGGAGAAAGAATTACGGTAGTTTCTCTCTTCATTTCTAAATTAATTAAAACTTTTAAGATGGGAAACGATTTGGAACTGAAAACCACTGTGAACATAGTCCTAAAAGAAAGCGCCGTGGAAATTAGAAAAAAATTTCCTTTTTAAATGCAAAAAAAAATATTAAGAAAGAAGAAAATATCGTAGTAAATTTCTATGCAACTGAGAAGAGGAGAAGGGGGAAGGGTCAAGACAAGGAACCGGTGTTCTCTCCAGATGGTGTATTAGAGCATTGCGATCGCGAATAACAATATTTTAAGTGTAAAATAAAAAATAAATGAAAATTGAAAAGTTTTTCAGATAACAAAGTTTTATTTTATTTTATATCCGTCGTTGAACAGCCGACCCAATTTTTGGGTTTGCTACTAATGTTCAACACCGTAGCCTTGTAATTTTGAACCAATCCAGAAGACAAGAGGAAACTCCTGGATCAGTACCCCCAGAGGTCTTGATTTGTTATAGGAACATGGAAGACTTTGCGACTCGACAGATTTAACGTCCATCAGTCACCATTTACAACACGGTGAGTCCTCGGCCGGCTTGGATCAAATCCACGAACTCTTGGACATAGGCCCAGCGCCCTACCGACGAATAAAGAAATATTGTCAGAAGGTATTGCATAACAAAATGGGTTACAGGTATGAACCCATTTGCATCCACGTCTCGTGAATCACATACAGTGTAAACGGTTTCGTTTCTCTTTCGCTTTTATGACGTCATCTTGAATATCTTCTTTCATGCCTAACGTAAATTTCCTCGGCCACCGGGACAACACGAAAGTTCCCTGACTACAACTTACAACATACGTTTGTTTGTAGTTGCAATTTGTTGCAATTTTGAGTTGCACCTTGTAACAATTTGTAACAAAACAAATTTAAGTTTGAATGCCGAACAAATGAATTTTTGTATAAAGGAAGTAAGTAATTCTTATTACTTCATTATGTATAATTGTAACTGCTAGTTATTTTGCTCTTATTATCTTAGCGCATTACTAAATGTTCACTGTTAATTATAAAATGTGTATCAACCTTTAAACAACCTCAAATTTATATTTTTATGTTAATTCTTCCTTTTTAAATAAAGTTTTAAGTTCAATTTATGAATCTTATGTATGTACTGCATCAAAATTCTCATTTGTTTGAGGTTGAATAACCTAGTTAATTCCTGTTTATTCTAGTTCGAACTGGTAACGACCATATTGAATTGCGTTTTAAAATGAACCACATTTTGATGCGTATCCCAATATTTTTGTATGAGGGGTACTTCAACTATTAAGTACTACCGGTGAATACTTTCTTTTTAAATATTTTATTTTTTTCTAATTTTCAACATAATGGGAATAAATTTTAATTTTTGATAATGTTAATGATTGATTATTTTATGCGTTTTACCACTCATGTTTTTAAATTTGATCTATGATAAATAAATTAAGTATTTTAATTTATTTTTTATTGTAATGTTTCTTAAAACATTTTACTAAATTTTTCTTTTTCATAAGTATGTTTAAAGTTGAAGATATTTTCTTTTTTAAAGAAGTAGGAAGTTGGCTAATTTAGTTTTAAAAAGTATCTAAACTGAGTCTTAAAATTTATAGTTATTAGGATTAAAAGAGCATATATTTTCATATTGCTGTGCCACCAATTACAATCGCAAAGGTGCAAAATAAATTTTAAATTAGCCATTTTCTTTTTTTAAAAGAAGAAACATATAGAGATTTTCTTGAGGGGGGGGTTGCTAAAAGTTATACCTCTTGTGTTGGTCTTTTTTGTGTATTGTATTTTAATTTTTCATGGGCCACTGCTCGGAAGTCACCAAGACATAGCGATTATTTTGGCATAGATTATGATTAGGGCTGCAGGTTTGTTACGGCACAAATTTCCGTGATGATTTGCACGAAAATGTCCTCTTTTTTTTCTAAAATCCTCGAATTTCTCAATATGTTTTGATTTGTGCGAAAATTGCTTTAAATTTTAATTTTTTCAAATTTATTTTTATTTAACAGATTTATTTACTTTACTGAAGCCTGAAATTAAACATGTAAAATTGATTCGATATTTAGGGAAATGAAGCAAAATGACAAGAAAATAGTTCAGAGATAAGAAATAATTACAATCTTGTCATGTCTGTCAAGTCAGTAAGAGAACAAAAAAAAAAAAAAAAAAATCATCCAAACTANTGAAATCAGAAAAGAAGGAAAATGTTATAAATCAAATTTTTGACAGAAAAATTGTAACACAGGCTAATTGCACCGGACAATGAAAGTTTTACTGCCTTTCTACATATCCAGGCAATTTTTCCTGGGCGGCTTCTTGTGATTTCTTAAATAGGGTTCAGTTTCTTAGATGAGAGGGAGATTAGTAACTACTAGTTAGTACTAATACTTTTGAAACTAGTAGTTTGAATGTAGAATGTTTGAGTTTTCACAGCAATTACTTCTTACAAAGCTACGGTCAAGGAATTGCTCGTTGATGAAGGAAAATTGATCGAGTTTTGGAAATCAAAGACAGGACGCTATTTAAAATTGGCAATTCGATGATTGTCGGTGCTTACAAACAGCGTGGAAGCAGAAAGACCCTTTTTTAAGTATAAAAATGCAGTGTTTTCACTACAGCGCGAGAACGCGAGAATCTCGCATATTTTTTTATATTCTCGCATTAAAAAATTATAACCGCGAGAAATTTGCGCATTCTATAAACCAATTTCAAAATTCGCGAATTTCTCGCATTTTGAAAAAAATTTCTCATTTGCGCCATTTAGAATAAAATCCGTTTCACTTTTCTTCCTGGATCTTTTATTATTTTCAACATCTGCCCCATTATCTAGCTTCCCTATTTAACAGTATTGTTCAGAACCCTTAAGAACAACAGAACACCATCCCTCGGAACCACGGAACCTCTTTCAGAACGCATTTCTCTGCAACCACGTGTTTACCGTAGGTAAGGTTTCTTCATGTAAGATGTTCAAATTTTTTGCTCGCTAATGTAAGATGGACAAATACCTTGTAAAGCCAATATCTTCTACTCCGAAACGGACAAATGAAAATGAAACAAATGTGGGTAGAAACGATCAAAACGAAACAAATACGCATTTGAGCACCTTCTAATGAGAATAGCTGACGAAAAAGTAGATGTAGAACATTTTTCATATGATGATGCTGCAAAAATATTCAATGCTTTAAAAATTCGAAGATATTAAAAATGCATTATGATTAAAGAAATGATTTTTTTTCCAAGTCTCTCGGTGTTTTTTTTTTTTTTTTTTTTTTTTTTTTTTTTTTTTTTTTTTTTTATAATTTTTGAAGTCTCACTTAACTTTTTGAAATCTCACCCTGTTTTTGAGAAAGGGTGAGAAATTCTCACCCATTTTTTTTCTGAGATGAAAACACTGAAAATGTATTAAATGATGAAAGACGAAGCATAAATGAGAATAATCTGACAATGTACAAAATTCTGTTCATTTAAATAAAAATAATAAAATTGTTTGAAATTAAAAGAAATACTTTTGTTATGTATTTTTTAAGCTTTTTTTTTATTATTTGCGCAATTTCTGTCTTTTGCATAATTTATATTGTATAATTTTTTTTTATGTTAATGGCATCTAAATTTACCTAAAAGTTGATCGTGATTGAAAAGTTGAAAGATCTACAACAAATCTATTATAGAAACATATCTTTATTTTATAGAAGAAGCACACAATTTATCTAATCAAAGTATTAAAAATTTTATGCATCAATTAATTCTCTAGGGGTTGAGGACTTCATTCAACCCATTTTAGCTGTGCAGGCAATATGTCAGCAGTATAAGTAAAGCCAAAATGCACTGGCCGAAAGCCGAAAAATATTGTTCCCCATCGGGAGATCCAGCGCTCATAAATTACATGGGAGAGATATGACTATTTGACGTCAAAAAAATGATACAAAAGAGCATTATGTGACGTCAGTCAGCTGTAAACGGTGTCTAAATGCAACTACATAAAGCCGGAAAACGTCACTCTCCACCAAGAGACAAAAATCAAGCGCTCACGAACAACGCACGAAAGGAAAAAAGGATTATGTGGCGTCATCAGGAGGAGGGAATGTCAACTAATAACTCATCATTTAGACTTATCTTGTTTCATTATTTTAATTATTTCATAAAAAGAATTTATTATAAGATAAATTTTTTTAAATAAAAACAAAATTTTGGCTCTGGAATTTTTTTTTTTTTTTATAATATGACCTATTGCTTATTGGAAAATGATGTAAATTGGCTAGTAAATTGCAGGGAAAGCATTGTCTTTTCTTTTACATTTCGTTTCATTTTTTTGAAAAATGCAAAGAACTTTTAAATAGTTATTTACTTTAAGTAAAGTAATGTTTTTAAATTAATCTTTGTTTTTTTTCTTTTTATTTAAAGTTTTTTTTCTTCCTGGTACTAAATAAACTAAAAAAAAAAAAAAAAAAATAAGANTATAAAAAAAAAAAAAAAAAACTAATGATAAGATAACATAATACATTGTAATGTATTATGTTATCTTATCATTACTTTATTTTTGTATACATTTATTCTTTCATTTCAAATTATATGCAATTTAGTTTCGAAGTATTTTATTGCATGAAATTAACTATAAATTAGTAGTTATTTTTCAAATAATTTTATTTGTTCATATTGGGGAATTTATTTTGAAAGTCGAGAAAAATTAGGTTCTGAAATTTTTTTACTGTATTTATGATTGCAAGAAATCACACCTTTTTTTTTATTTTATTTTATTTTATTTTTTTTTATTATTTTTTTTAAATGCATCGAATATCGCCCTTGTTTTCTTTCTTTTTTTTTCTTTTCTTTTTATTTAATGTTAGAGAGATTAAAGAAATATGCTGCACAAAACAAAATTTTTATAGCACTGGATTATGTTTTTTTTTTTTTTTTGGCCTTTGATTTTCACTTCTTAAAAATAGTGTGTATCATACCAAAAAATGTCCAGATTTTTTTAAACTGATTTTTTTGACCACTACCAAGCTTGCTAGTGTTAATTTATTGTATTTTAATCGTTTCTTTGTATACATTTTAGATTTGAAATATAAGTGAACATGTTTGGAAACTCAAAACCATTTGGAACAGCTTCTGCATTCGGAGCAAGTAAGTAATATTTTAAATTACTAAATCTATTTTTTTTTATATTGTGATTTTGAAAACCAAATCTGGGTTAAGCGAATGAGCATGCTTTTTCCTTTTTAAAATACTTATTATTTTTCCTCTCAGTTTCTTAATTAGGTTACATTTTAAATTTAGTATTCATCCATTTGCTGGGTATCCAACAAATTTAGCGAAAATTCCTGACCTTCATCAGTAACTCTTCAATACGATATCATCAGCATACCTGCCAGTTACTGCTTTGACCTTGCTGCTAATTCTTTAGCAGCTAGCTAATTCTAATAAATAAGCTAATTCTTTAAAATATTTGTTTCTAAATGTAGTTTTTTATAAGGTAAACTCTTTTAAAGATGTTACTGACAGGTTCAAGATGATTAACTAAATTTAGTTATAACTTTCCTTCTTAATATATTATAAAAACTTGGCAACTACCTTGGTGCAACAATTTTTGAATGGTACCTACCTAAAGGACAACATTTTTCAGCTTTTGATTGTTTAAATGAGTGAAAAACAAACAAATGTTTATTTTATTGATTATTAAAACCAATTTTGAATAATAACACATTTATTATTGTATGTACTGTGTGGGAAAAAGGACCACCCTTCAACTTTTGATCTAATGATCAGATCTTCACGTTCTAGGACTCAATCTTAACTCGAGTGGGTGACCTCAAATATGATAATTAATAAGTGCAGATGATATTTCAAGGTACAAAATCAAACACAGAAACTTACTTTCTCTGAATAACAGGGATGAGATTCTTCCGCGGATTCGCGGATTTCCGCTTTTTTTCAGATTTTTCCATTTTTTCCGCTAATTTCCGCTGAAATTTTTTTTTTGCACAAGTTAAAATGTTTTATGAGGAATTTAATTTTTCGAAGAGGGAAATTATTGAAGTCCCTTTTCCTCCCTCTGAAGTTTCTCTAAAAATCATTTCCTTGGGATAAAACTGGCTGACCTTTATACAGGGATGAGATTTTTTTTGTCTCTGGAATTTCAGCCTTTTTATCAAAAACTCCGATTCTCTAAAAGTTTCGTTTTTTTAAATAAATATCCCTTTTTTTTTAAATTCAGTCATTGAAGTAAAATAATTATATTTATTTACGATTTTCAAAGATAAACAGAAAATTCAATCTACGCCCTAGCTGCTAACCCTTCCGCATTTTTACTTATTTTAGCTATTTTCTCCGATTTCACGCACAGAAAATAAGATTTTCCGTATTTTTTATCCGTCGGCTGGATAGCTCGTATTTACGTAATTCAGACATCGCTGCTTCTTGTATTCTGGCGTGAAAACAAACAAAAAAAGAGGGAAAACATAGAGGTGGATTTGTGTTGAAAATATTTATTTGCTCATTCAATTAATCTTGTAAATTTTTATTTATTATGTCTAAACAAAAACAATACAAGCAAGCCTTTTAGAAATCACAAGTCCAGACTCTGCAAATATCTCAATTCTTATTCACGCGATTTTAATATCATCGATTTTCGTATTTACCTGATTTAAAAGTTGCACATTGCGATTATTATTTCGCTATTTAAATATCGTATATTATGATTCTTATTTACGACATTCAAAAATCCAATATCGTGTTTTGTATTTATGCATTTTTAAAATTGCGATTTTATTATCAAATCTCGATTTTCGTATTTACCTGTTTTAAAAGTTGAACGTTGCTATTCTTATTCAGGCGATTTAAATATTTTACATTGCGATTCTTACTTACGAGATTTAAAAAAATCAATATTTTAAAAACCCTATGTAGCTTTTAAAGCCCTATGTAGCAATTCGTATTCACGCGAGCTTAAAATCGAATATCGTGATTCGTGTTTGTGGTTGTAATATCGCGCGATTTAAAAGTTACGCATCGTGATCGGAAAATTAAAAAATCATGATATATATATATAATTTTTTTTAAATTTTTTTTTTGATTTCCTCTTTTTTACTTTCTGACTACTCTCATCCCTGGAATAACCATACCTTTATTTTGTCTGATTTCTGGCTTCCGAAATATAGGAGTAGCTGCGATATGGGAATTATAGTCCTTATAGTTTGGTCAAGAGAGTGCTCCAAAATTCGGACCCCTTAATGTTAATTTTACTTTTTGTGTATTTCGCTATATCTAGTGAACTTTTAACCGAATTGAAAAGATTTGCACCCAATTTTAAAATTTGTTTATTTAAAGGTAATTCCATGAAAAACATAACTTTTGGTAAATATTTTTATTTATTTATTATTTTATTTAATAATGGTCGAAAAATTTGAGCAAAATCAGTCTATTAGCTCTTGAGAAATTGAATTTTAAATATCTGAATTAATAAATAATTTTAAAAGTCATATTTTTAGATCTTTAAATAAGCAAATTTTATAATTGTGTGCAAAAAATTTTCATATTGGTTAAAAGGTTCTTGAGACATATTGAAATTCGCAAAAAGTAAAATTAACATTAAGGGGTCCAAACATTGGAGTGCACTCCTGACCTAACTATTGGGACCATATTTTCCAGATGGCAACTACTCCCTATATCTACTCCCTATTTTGTCTGCACAAATTATTTAGCCTATTTGAGGTCTTCCCCTCAAACCATTAAAATTGAGTCCTAGAACGTGAAGATCCGATCATTAGGTCAAAAGTTATTTTTCTTTTTTTTTTGGCGCACTGTACAAATATTTATTAACACAAAAACTAAAGCACAGTGCCGTATTATCGTGTTCAAAAGTAATTGTCCATGTCGTGTAATTAAAAAAAATTTGTAGTGGAAAATATTATATACAACAAAAATGATAAAATACTGTTAATGCTTTGTAGGCATGCTTTTTGAAGCAATTATAGTACATTCATTCGAATGAATGTACTATAATGCATATTTATAAATAAACAGTAGTTCTGAAGTAAGTTGCCTGCAAATAGCTTACTGGTGTTATTTATCAAAAAATAATAATAAAAGAAAAGAAATTACAACTTAAAAAGTTACAAGAAATTACAACTTAAAAGAAAAGAAATTACAACTTAAAAAGTTTTTTAAAAAAAGTTTTTTTTATGAATTTTAAAGATAATAGAAAGCCAAATGAAGAATATGAATGAAGCTTGTTTCTGGCCTCAATAATATACTTGTATCTCTGGTTAAAAAAGAATTAAATTAGTTAACTTTTATAAAAACCATCAGGAAAATATAGTAAAATGTTAAATTTATTTGAATTATTATTGAAATATTGTTTTAAATTTTAATATGAAAGCCTTCTTTTAAACCAAAATTGTTCTCTTTTACGAAATGTTATTTTAGGTAAAATCTTATAAAACTCAATCGAACAGACCTTTTTTTATGATCAAGGTTTTTTTAACAGTCAACTAAAGTCAGTAGATTATTTTGACCACTGTAACATATCAATATAGTTACGTTTAAATGTTGAGATGTGTTTCAGGCTATTATCTCTCTGAAATATACACTTTAGACCCAATTTTTGGTATGTTTCCTTCAGAAGATTGTTATGTAAAATATACCGATGTAATACACAATCCAAATAACCATGACTTTTCACTTATGGTATGAGTTCTTCATACAAAAGACACCTCGAACTATAACATTGTTTCCAGAATGAATGTTATTAGGAATTTGTTATTTAGCATTATTTCTTGTTCTTATCCGAATTCGAACATACTTTCTGCCATCATTGCTGAATAAATTGGTTTTATATTTATGAGAAAAACAATCCAGAAAGTTCAGATAAGATATCTATCGCAATCTTTCACCTGGCCTTCTGATTGTTTTTTATTAATGTTTTTTATTTGGCTATTTGTATATTCAATTCAACATCATATAATCATCTTGTAACAGTACTGTTATTAATATTTACAACACATTAGTGCAACATTATAGTGCTATTTAAACTGTAATTTTCTTGATGTTCTACATTTTTCTGAGTTTTTGTATGGTTCTCTTTTTCTGTTATTTTTTTATGGTCGAGCACTGTCAGGCTTACATTTAAAACAACATTCACTTCGATTATTAATATCCAGATCATTTAAAGTTCACATTCCAATTGATAAAGATAAACCTCCTAGAGGACCAGCCTTATTTTGATAATTTTATTTATTACCTTATAACATATTTGTCCTGATATATTAATAGTTTTGTTAAAGCAAACTAAATTTTTGACAGAAATATTTAGGATTCACGTGACTATGGTAGTATAGCGGGATTTTTTAAAAAGTCAATCATGAATAATACAATTAGCCGGATACTTTTAAACACCAAAATATAGTTCATTTTTATGTTTACAAATGTTTAAGTGTACAATAACACATAAAAATATGATAATTAAATAAATTTCTTTTAATCATTTCAGTAGATAGGAGTCCATTGAGGCTAGAAGTTTATATATTTTTTTTATGTCCATTATTTTTTTTTGATTGCTTTCATATATTTGTTACAGGGTGCGTAGCATTTTTAAAAAGTGCTTAAAGGTGCTTATTTTCGATTTTTGTTTTTTAAAAACCCTTAAAGGTGCTTATTTCATTGGGTGTTTTTAATAAGTGCTAAATTTTCCCTTTTTTAAAATGAGATTTTTCCTTTACCATGTTGATTTTCGCTACGAATTATGCAAAAAGGCACAGTTCACATTGTTCTATTCAACGTTTTCACAATTAATTCAACCCCAATCTATTTCGACGTATTGTCAGTCCGTAGTGTATGAAACGCCATACGTTTTACATGATTCAAAATTTCATGATGTTTGACAATTGTAAAAAACTATGCCAAAAGTTTTTTTTTTTTGACAGGACAGTTCAAACAAGATAAAACTGTCAATTGTCAAAAACTTTGCAACCTTGCCTAATTATGATATTTTTTAAAGTGCTTAAAAGTATTTTTTTAATGCTTGAAAAGTCCTTAAAAGGTGCTTATTTTTTGTTGAATAATTTACGCACCCTGTATTATTTTTTTTATGAAATGCCTGGATTGGTACCATTTTTTTTGTATGTATAGATGAAATAAATTGCTTTTTTTTTTTCCTTCTAGGTACATTTGGAAATACTTCAACACCATTTGGGCAAAGTAAGTTTTTTTGCTTGTTGCTATACCCTCTAAATAAGTATTTTTACGTTTTTAAGATTTTTTTTTTTATGATTGTAACTTATTTTAACATTTGTTTTTTAAAAAGCAGAGAAATTATATTACATTGGCTAGAAGTGTGCAATCTGCCCTTTGGATTAAAGGTCAATATGTGATCCCCATTTGAAACAGGGTTGGCTTTTTACTGGCAGAAACTGGTTTTTGCCATGCCAGTGGCACAAACTGGTTATAACCGGTAAAAACTGGCAGAAACTAAAAAAACATCTATATTAGTTCTAGTAATTGCTTAATGACATTTTGTTTAAGTAAACTGACAAATGTAATTCTACAAATGTAACTGTAGCAAACTTTTTAATTCATTGTTTGTAAATATATATTATTTTGTTTATATTAAATATAAAGAGTGCAGTATATCAAATATTTATAACAAATCGGCCCCACAAAACAAATTAAGCAAACAGCCCCCTTTCTTGAAACTTATTTTTCCAGTCAAGTTTTGCAACTCACCAGCTGCTACATGGCGGTCTAGTTTTAAAAAATATGCAATAGATGAAAGTTTCACAAATCTTGCTTGTTCCTTGATGGCAATGCCTGCTAGTTCTGCTGGACTTGAGAGAATCTTCTCCAATTGAGAATCTTCTCCAATAGGTTTAGAAACTGCATCAAAACTTGCATTAGTGCAGAGTGCAAACAATGTAATATTTGATTTTGAATGGTGATAATTTTAGTAAATAAATTGTACTTTGTTTAACATTTAATTGTTTTTTCTGTGAATTATCCATTGTATGTCAATCTCAGTACTTACTTTTATGTCATTTATTGCCAGTTTCTGCCACAAATATGGCAGAAAGGGGTTTCTGCCATACCAGTTTTAACCAGTTTCTACCAGTGGTTTTAATCACCTCGGCAGAAACTTGCCAACCTTGATTTGAAATAAAATTCGATGACTAACATGCATTTTTTTATTACTGCAACTAATTTCAATAAACTCAAATTGTAGCATTAAATTTCAAATTGTAGAGGCATTAATTTAAAGTGTCAAAAGATTTATTTAAAACCTTCCTCGTTTTAATCTTTTCTTCAGCCAAAGCCGACCGGTTTAAAACTAATGTAGTTCAAATATTTGTTTAAAAATTAATGTTTATAGTTTATGTATAGTGAAAAAATGTGTGTTAAGTTTTCTGAAAGTAAAGTCTAAAAACCTGCTGTAATTTTATTTTTTTTAAAAAGGCAGTGTTTTTAAAAAATTAAATTATAGAAAATTGGTACTATTTTGTTGATGTTATACGGGCAGCTTATTTTTGAATATGTTGATTGTTTTGTATTAATCTGTGAGCTAAGTGACTTGGGCTATTTCTAGCTCTTTTTTTTTAAAACTAATTTAAAATGCATAATTTGCTAGAAAAAAGATTTTTATTTTTATCATTTTTTTATTGAATTTTCTATATTAAGGAACGTTTTTTTAATTTTTTTTTAAAGGTACTACTGCCTTTGGTGCTAAGCCAGCAGCAAACAATGTCTTTGGATCTACTGGATTTGGAGTACAAACACCAGCAGCGCCCATGTCTGGCAGTCTTTTTGGAGGTAGCACCCCTGCCTCTGGTACTGGATTATTTGGTCAACCAACCACAGGTTTTGGTGCCCCTGCTTCTACTAGTAGTGGAGGATTTGGAGGTAAATTATTAACTTTGCAGTTATGAAAAATTATGTAGAACTGTCATTTTTTTCAATGCAACTATTTGTTTCTTAAATGTAATTAAGTATTTTAGATTAATAAATCCAGAATAATCCAGGGATAGATTAATAAATCCTTTTTTAGAATTTTGTTCGGTAATGAGGTTTTATTAATTAAAATCATGTTATATTAGTAATTTACTTTCAGGTGATTAGGTAAGTTGTATATCACAGTGAAACTTTAAAAACTTCAAAATGATTTCTTAATTTTTGGATTAGTCGGTAATTTCATTCATGGTCATACCCCAACTAAATATTTTTTTCTGTATCATGAAATATTTTTTTCTGTATAATCATATTTTTTTCTTCTCAATATTCCAGACAAATTTTTATCACCCATGTATCAAAGCTTATTTATAACTTTTTTTTAACTAACATAAGAAAAAGTTTAATAGTGTGCCAATTTAAAATTCAATGAATAAAACTAAACTGAAAAACATCTTAATTTCTTTTGTTAAAATCCTTTAAAATTAATTAAATTTATTATTAAAATACTATAAGGGATGTTTGCGACTAATTCAAAAGTTTAACTTTAGATTGAAAATTAAGTTATTGTTTCATTTGTTGGGAATCATTGGTTGAGAATTAGCAAAGTTTTCCAGACATTAAAATTTTTCAGCAAAATAATGAAACTAAAAGCATTAAATTCCTATCATAAGATTGCATATCATACATCTTTTTAATAAGTCTATCAGATAATCAGAGTTCTACTGAATCAACCAAACATATATATGCATAATATATCTCTCTATTCTAAAAAAAAGTTTTTGCAGTTAATTTTGTCCCCTGAAAAACTTTTTAACTACGTGATGAAAATCTAAGATTAAGGAATCAATTCATTCAGAATCTTTCAGGGAAGACATTTAGGGCATTCAAATCTTTTACATAATTTTAAATTTTTATTTATTTTAGTTTTAAAGCACGATTTTGCAGTTAATAATGAAGAATAACCGCCNTTTTGTTAATTTCTATTGAGTGAGTATTGCATTGTAAGGCAAGCATTAGCATAAATATTAATGTGAATAATGAAAGAAAGCAATAGCTTTTTTATTAATGTAATTAATGGAGGCCAGCATAAGTATCATATGGTAATAGTTCTATCTTAAAATCTTCTGACATTATTTAAAAGTTGTTTTTATTTACTTTCTAGATTTTTTTTTGCCTACTTCGTATATATCTTAGTTTTTTTATGGATCAATCAAAATTTTTTAAAACTATAGAGAACTACAGTTTAAAAATAATCAAACTTTCAAAGTAGAAGGGCTCAATTAACAAAACTATTTTAAAAATAAAAGAGTATGCCAGGACTGATTTAATGAGATAGCAAAAAATAAAGCTTCATTTGAGGTATCAGGTATGCATAATAATTATTGTAATATATGTGCATGAAGCAGTAGATCTTCACAGAGTGCCAATGTCTCACTAATTTTTCTGGCTACTGGATATTTTTAAAAGTAAAAGAAAATGCCCGCAATGACAAAATTCCTCTTTCATATGTAGTATTTCACTAATAACTAAATGCTATAAACACTCCAATTTTTTTCATTTTCACGTGTGTAAATACTACTGGGATAATCTTCAAATATTATATTTAAAATTCGCAGTGTAAATAAAATTGTATCTTAATACTAGTACCAAGTGTTCTGAAATTTAAGTATGAATTTATGAAAAGATAGTCTGGTGTTAAATTAACTTTAGAATGGTAAGAGTTTCATACCCTCTGATATTAGTTATTAAATTTTATTATCTTTTTGAATTATATTTTAATTTATTTTGCTAAAACATTTAGCTCAAAACAATTCTTGTCAGACTGTATATGTAAGGTATCAAATTACTAAATCAATGTTTACATAATTTTTATTATACAAATTAAAATTAGGAAAATCTAAAAGAAATTAAACAAAAACAAACTTTTGAATAAATTAAACCCATTTTTGTAGCTAATTTTTTTAGATAAGAAAATGGATATTTATTTTTTACTTCCACAGTAACTGTTAGTATATTAGGTACATATTATACAGGGTTTGTAGTCCTGATTCTCTTGAGGAAAAATACTTTGCCCTGATTTTTAGCTTTTTGTCCTGATATTCGTAATTTTTGTGTTCTCGGAAAATCCCATTTTCTAATACAGTACAGAACCCGTTATCCGGAATTCGGAAAACCAAAAAACCGGATCGAAATTCGATAAATTTTCCCCCCATTTTAAAAAAAAAATTTTTTTTTTCCTCATAAGATTTTAGGATTTTTCCTTCTTTTTTGAACGATGTTTACCTTGCATCATTTTGGAAGTAATCATTAGTGTATTACTTCATCGTTTTTTCTTCTTTTTAAGATTATTTCCAATTTTTATTTTTTTTTTTTTAGTTGGGTTTAACAATAAAAAAACGGCATTTCATAGCGATTCAGAAAACCCGAAAAATTAGTTATCCGGAATAGCGATGTTCCCGATCGTTCCGGATAATCGGTTCCCTACTGTAATACTAAATGAAGATTTTTTTGAAAGTAGATTTAAATAATAAAAATATTTGGATTTTTGATCCAATATCTTTTTATTTTAATAAATAATACTCATAGGAATTGCAATTCAATAATTCCAATTTAGGGACAGTCTGCTGATTATTTACACAGTTCAGGTATGTAGTCTTACCTGCATTATTCATTGTTTCAATCTCTTTGTTAATTAAGTCATTCTATGAAAAAGAAATTTGATTAACAATTTTACATTTTTGAATTTTAACGATGATAATTTCAAAGGTAATATGTTTACTTATTGTTTTCAGCAAATATAGTAGAAAATCTTATTGGATGGAGCTTTATAGTTTCAATTCTTGATTGGTCTCTATCATATGATTTTAAAGATGGTTGATTCCAATGAACAATATAGTAATATCATAGGATTTTTTAATGATACAACAGTGCAATAAAAAAATTTCAATTTATTGATTTGAAACTATGAGTTCAGTATTGATAAAATTATTCAGGAAAACTTTTTATTTTAAATAAAGTAGTTAAGAAATTAAAAGAAGTATATTTTATTCTTATTTTGCTGTAAAATTTGCTTTTATTACTCTAAAGGAATGCAAATGATGCTTTTTAGTTAGCTGTTTGCACTTTAAAAGTAGTGTGGTATGCATGTACTGTTCAAAAATATGTTCTGATTTTTTTAATAATATCCTAATTTTTTCTTCAGTCCATTATGAAGCCTGATGTTAGCACAACAATACCAGTAGTACCTATTACCACACTTAATGGAACATTGGGACCAAAAATTTTTGTTTTGACCTTTCCCCAAATTTTTTTTCATTAAAAATAATGTAGACATAAGTTTATGAAAATTTCTCTTACTTTCATAATTAAATTTCTTCCATGTTAAACTGGTACAATTTCTTTTAGTATGTATGTACCTCTATAAATAAAAAATGAGTATAAATAAAAAATTTAATTAGTAAATAAACAGGCTGCAAATCTAAAAAATAACAAAAAATAATTTTAAAAAAAAGAAAGCCTTTAAGCCACAATTTATCTATATATGTACACACACATATCGTCGCTTTGAAACTAAACCGTAGTAACTCAAAAAAATCGAAAAATTAGATATTTGGGTCGTTTTTTGTGAAAAAATCACCCTTTTAGAGAAACGTGTTATCTTCATAGTTCCATAAAATTTATTTAGAGAGCAGATAAATCGTTATCGCATTGGCGCGATTAGCATTAGCGCGGAAAGTTAGAAATCGCTCTCCTGAAAAACTTGCTTTTTTGAGTTACCACGGTTTAGTTTCAAAGCGACGGTATATGCACACGTATAAATATTTTGTAAATGAGTATGAAAATCTCTGTGAACAAAGATAACCCAAGAATCTGTATTTCTTATACTGTTTATGTTTTCAAACTGTGTAAAATGATTTATTTTTAAGCCATTTGTTTGTATTATTTTTATAATACTAAAATATTTTTTATTTCAAGGTTTTGGAGCTGCATCAAATAGTGGAGGTCTTTTTGGAGGAGCTACCCCTTCTACTCAGACAGCTGGTGGATTGTTTGGTGCTACAAATACTTCAGCTTTTGGCACGCCACGTCCTGCATTTGGTGGATTCGGAACTACTAATACTGCAACTGGATTATTTGGTCAAAATACTTCCACTGGCACAAGTCTGTTTGGATCAACCGGTAGTTACTCTAATAAGTTATATCTGTAAAAAATTCAATGTTCTCTCTAGGGATAAAAAGGAGCACGCAGAAAAGGTCACTTTAGTTTTGAATGTGCAGTCATTTACTACCATTAAAATTTATTGAAATGTGTTATGTAAATTGTGTTATGTTATACTTGCTCCTCAACCATATTTAAATCACCCTCTTATACACTATTTTATATATTTTAAAAAGTTACTCTTATTCATTATCAAATTAACAGACAAATTTGAAGCTTTTTTTTAAAGACATGCTAAAACGCAATCTCTGTGTATAAATTTTCTTCGAAAAAGTGAATTTTTTAAAAAAAGTAATTCATAAGCATTTTAAGTTTTTTTTTTAAAATTCTGAACTGAAAGTTATGAAAAATGAGCATTTGAATGTGTATTTTTAAATGAGGATATTTATTTTGAGAAATGATTGTAAAATATAATTTCACCTAAAAGTTCTATAATATCCCTCCTCTCTCCCCTCAAAAACTAATAAAAATTTAACTTATTGAAAATAATTATAACAAACAGCTTAAATATTTGTAACAGTAATCAGAATTAAACTTATAAACACACAGATAATTCTAGCACTGTGTAATTATTAAATAAACTATGAATTAAATTTTCTAAAAACAGATTTATGTGAACTAAAAATTATATAAGTAGTCCACATAATCTAGTTGTAAGAGTGCATTGAAGAATCTTTGCGCTGATTCGAATTAATAATATGTTTAAACTTATTTCTTAAAGTTCACACACAACTCTTGGACTGTAGCTTCACTTAATTTTTTGCATTATCCCAAGAATGCTAACTCACAAATCTCGAGATCCGAAAGATAGACAACAACAAAAAAAAGCACACGTTAAAAAAACGAAACAATTGGCGATAGACACGTGTGGCGCAGGGCGTCACAATTGACGAGATATTCACAACATCGCCACACTCATACATGCATATTTATATTTATTTAGGAAAATAAGACATCCATTTAACAATAAAACGTTATAATTATATAGATTTTAATATTTAGTATAAAATTAATATATGAGCATAGTTGAGTGAAGGAAACTTTAAACTTTTTGTACTATATTAAATTTTACCTGTTACAATTTAGGTTATTATAATACTTTTTCTAAACAGAGTTCTGATCATTTTTAGTTTTCAGTTATCTGTTCCTTTCAGTGTTCTGGAAGTAATATGCTTTTTCCAAAAGAAATCCCATCCTTGGTTAATAATTATCCAATCTAACAGTACAATATCTACGAAAAATTTGATACCATAAGAGTTACGTAACTTGTCTCGGCAGCCAAATATCATGCAAAGTTTAATAATACAATTTCACAAATGCATAATTTGCACAGAAAAAAATCTTACTAGAATGAAAAAATGAAATTAAAAGTCTTATATAATTATCAATAATATCTAAATAAATCTAAAGTTACAATGGCCTCCACAAAAAATCTATCAGAATTGTTCTATTAATACAAATCTAAATTGAAACTAATAGCATGAATCAAATTTGTAAAAAGCAGAACATTAATAGAGTAAATAATGCTTAAAAAGATTAATGCTGATTTTAGTCACAAGTGAAGCAGAAATTAGGAGAAGGTAATTAAAATATGATAAAAATGGGGTCAATTTTCACATATAAATAAGTTACTTGAAATGAATTAAAACTTAATGATTTTTTTTTAAAGAATATTCAACGAAATGGATGTTATTTCACTATTAAATATTCCTTCATAAATTTTTTTAAAAATATTTTAGTCTGTACATAATTTATTACTCCCCCCCTGAAGTTTCTTTACTAATTATTGTTTTTAAGCATCAGTGCATATATATTGTTTGTACAAAGAAAAACTCTGAGAAGTTCAATTAAATTTAACTAACTGTAAAACTAGCTCTCAGAAAGGAAGGAAAAAATTCCAAACACACTGTTGAAAAAAGATTATAATTATCAATCCCCCCCAAAAAAAGAAATATTATAATAAAAATAATAACTTTAAAAAAAATCTGGATGTGGGAAATTGTGTGTTAAGTAAAGAAAATAAATCTCACTCACCAGGAAGTGATAAAATAAATGATGCATAATTATGAGAGCGAATATTAAATGTATTTAGCTTATCAAATTTCTGACAAATATTTTTTCAAAAGAAGACTAAAACAGGTACTACACTAAGAACAATAACTACAATAAGAAGAGAACAATAAATATTTACATTTACCAGGATTATGTTTGTTTCAATGTGTTATGAGGCACTTCCTTATAAAATGAAATTTATTTTGTATCGAAGCATAGTGAACAAAAGAAAAGAAAGGTGCAAAAAAGTATAAAATTTTCTTCTAAAAACATAAATTTTTCTAATAATAATAATTAAAATGAACATGTTTCATATTAAACTTATAAATATTAATTTTTATAAATTGTGGGTGAAAAAAAGAGAGAGACTGAGAAATTATAGATAACATTTCTGATATTAATATTTTTTAATAATTTGCTTTAATTACAATCTAGGTGTGGCTGGTGGATTTAATGCAGCTACCCAATCTGGGACAACAATTAAATTTAATGCTCCGACTGGAACAGATACTATGATGAAAGCTGGTGTATCCACAAGTATTGGTACAAGACATCAATGCATCACTTGCATGAAAGAATATGAAAATAAAAGTTTGGAGGTATTTACTCCTTTTTATAAATACTTTAATTTATAAATACTTTTTGAATCCTTTATAGTTTCTTAATTGTATGTTGAAAAATAGTTAGCTGTATGTATTGTATGTAGTTTTATTTCATTAATGTAAAAAGATGATTAAGTATATTTACTTGTTATATCTGCACCATTCTGTTAGTAACTTAGTTACAATATTTATCTGTTTAGGAACTGAGGATGGAAGATTATGCGGCAAACAGAAAAGGCGGTGGCGCTACTCCTGCTTTAGGTTTTGGGAATACTACTCAAACAACTGGTGGTCTTTTTGGTGCACCTGCTGCAGCTTCTACATCAGCTTTCTCCTTTGGAAATACAACTCAGTCAAAACCACTTTTTGGTTCTACGGGAGGAATGACAAATAGTATTTATTTTTTTGAGAATTTTATGTTATCCCATGACTTCCTTTGTTTATAACAATATATTTAATATACAAATGCTTTTTAGATACATTTGGAACTACAGGAGGAGGCTTGTTTGGAGGAGGAACACAACAAACTCAAAATACAGGATTGTTTGGCAAATCTGTGGGATTCGGTGCTCCCTCTACATCTACAGCACCTGCTTTCAGCTTTGGTGGTACTAACAACACATCTCTTTTTGGCCAAAATAATCAACAAAAGGTAATTATTTTGGTTAAAACTGTTGACAATTATTTTTTATTAATAACTTTTCTATTTTTTTTTATCTGTTTGCCTACCTGCTGTATTGTAAATTGTGTTTTGGAAATAGTGATAAATGATCTTTTCATCTTTTTATTATTTTTATTTATTTAAATAGCTTTTCTTCAGATTATACTCAGGATCATTTATTGATGTTTTTTCTCTCCTTTGGTAAGAAAAATGTCCACTTCTGTTTTCACTGCCTATCACAAAAACTTTTCACAAGGATATTTGCATAGTTTCAAAGGCTTGAAAATATATCCTTTAAAAACTGAAAATAAATTGTTAGCTATGAGCACTGAGAGTTATTGTAAATTCAACTAATTTAAGGAATTCCTCAATGATTTTTGTTATAGTATTGACATTTAAATTTTTAGAAACTTTCATTTCAGAAAAACTGGGATATTTAAATCAAAAAATTCTTTACAAAAATAAGCATGTTTTCAAAAGTTAAACTTAACTTGCTAAAACTGTATAATTAGAAAACTTTATTTGTAGATAGATAACTTGTTGTTAGATGTAAAATGTTTCTTTCTTTTCAATAATTTAGAGTCTTAACTTTTATTTTCTATTTAGAATTTACTTTGCAAAAGCTAACTAACTAAATAAATTATTTAATATTCAATTGTTTTTAGCCATTATTTGGACAAACCACGGGAACTACTGGTTTGTTTGGAAATACAGCAACTACACAAGCTACAGGATTTGGTGGTACCAGTACTGGCTTTGGTGCATTTGGAGCAAATACTCAACAAACTGTAATCATTAATTTACTTTAACTTTGTATCATCTGTTTTTACGTAACCTTATTTGATGATATTAGTCATGTTGTAAAAACCTAATTCTCCCTAATTCTAAACTTTGAATTATTATATTTTAAAATAAAACTAAATAAAAATGAGTACAGTCTTTGCACTTGAGTAGGACCTTTCATAACTGCAACCCTTTAGTTAATGACCAATATATAGAAGTCTCATTTTATATTCTACACTCAGTGTTATTTTAATGCCTATTATATTTATGCCAAAAACAGACATTTTCACACTTAAACAGTTTTTATTTGACTAATCAATAGATTGAATCATTGGGGCAATGAAGAATAATCAAAGCAATATTTCTTTAATGTTCCTGTTCAATTAATGTGAAACATCTTAAATTCTCTATTAGTGAGGAGTGATAAAAACTCCTAATTTTATCGTTGGTGGTTTTCGATATTAATGGTAAAAAAGATGGCGAATTATTGCTTATTTTTCATTGTGTCTGTTGAAAATATCATATTCTGTGGAAATTAGTCTCCTGTATGCATTCATAACCTTTGTAAATTCCTTTATAAAGTGTTTGGTAAATTCATCAATCCTGTTTTTCTCTTTTGAGAACTGTTTTCATTATTTTGGTAAAAGTTTACAGGTGGTTTATTTTAAAATTACAATCATCTTATTTTAGATGTTTTTCTTTAAACTTGCAGCTCTTAGATGTTTCTTATTTAGAAAAATGTATTGCTTATAGCTAATGCCATATACATAAAATACATACAGGAATAATAGTTTTGTCAAAATAAGTGCAGTATTCATGAATTAGGAGTAAATATTTATGATAGTTTTGCATATTTTCGATATAGCGCTAATTTTTGTTTGAAACATAAAGGCTGCTAAATCTAGCATTTACTTTATTTAGAAACAATGTTTTTTTGCATAAGCAGAATTAATATCTTCCTTTCTTTCCAATATTTTTAACTGTGTAACTAATAGTTATCAGCAATGAATTACTTTACTATAAACTTGTAGGTTTCAGAAGCCCCATAGTTACAAAAGTGTAATACTCTTTCTTCTCTACTATACAAATTTTATAGAATTTACTCTCACACTCTTTTCTTTAAAAAGATAGTTTATATTTATAGCCTATTACAGATTTATTTTTATTATATTGAAAATGAAAAAAAAAATTGTTTGAGATACTTATATTAATATTGTTAACAGATGCAAAATCAGGTCATTAGTTAATTGTGTTAGAACATTGTCTCTTTTGAAAAATAAGTTAACGAAATATGGTTTTAAGCATTTCAAATTATAGAAAATTTAAAAGGAATACTTTTTTAAAAACATTTAAAAAATATTTTGCATGTTGTCTAATATTATATTAAATGTTTATTTTTTCAATACACTTTATGAATCATGCTATTTATGTGCTGTTAAAAGAAACTGCTTTCAGGCTTTGGAGTTATGCTTTATATGAATAATAGTATGTGTTTTAATTAAATTAATACTTTGTTTGGGCTCTTTTTCCCCTCCAAAGTCAGTTTTTTAGAGCAAAGTCTGATTTAGTTCTCTTCATAATGTTTTAACCCACTTGGTCCTCTCTTTATTGATATGAAACAATTTTAAAAAAATGTTTAAATTACATTAAAGTTTCAATGCATGCTAACTTTGTACGTCAATCATTAATTTAATAAGCATTAATTGGTCAAAATGAATTGATGGGTCATGCTAAATAGTTTTGGCAATTATTTTGTCACTACATATATTCTTGTGCAAGTTATTAAAACCTTTATTTTAATTATTTAATTACAGATTACTATTGAATCGTATCTCCAAATTGAGGGCGGAACATTTTCTAAACATATGGTCTTCTGAAGTTCTCTATTTTAGCTCAAATTCTCTATCCTTCCCATTTTTAACTACAAATGATCCTCTTTTCCCCTTTTCTCTGGCTAAAATATGTAGGGGGCCTGAAGATATGCTATCTTTTTTTTTGTTCTTTTTCAATCAAAACAATTTTATTAATATTTTTTGCCTAAATTACCATTATATTCATACAATAAAATTTTTTTTTACAGGGTGGTCTATTTGGTGCTAAACCAACTGGATTTGGAACAACAAATACCACTACTACAAATACTTTCAGCTTTGGAACTCCAAATAATATGACTGGAGGTGGATTATTTGGACAAAAATCTACTGCACCTGCTTTTGGCTCCACAGGATTTGGTGGAAATCAAACATCTTCATTTGGTATGAAACATTGTTTTTTAATTTTATAGTTTTTCTGCAGGCAAAGGAGTGTATTCAAATTTAAAGTTTATATTAATCATGTTATTTTATTTTGATTTTAAGCTTTTAATTTCATAATTCTTGAAAGGATACTTTCTATTATGATGTTTAAGAATGAGCTTATCAAAAGACAGCTAATAATTAAAAATAATATATTTCATTTATATTTTAGTAAACTAAACTCTATTAAATGAAAGCTTTATTTACAATAAATTGCTATAACTTCAAACTGATAAAAGAATTTAGACCCATGAAGTTGTGTAAACATGATATTTTTAAATGTTACTAATTTAATGTTGAAAATATGTTCTAAAAATTCCATTATTTATAAGTTATATAAAATACTGAATTATGAGAATTTTCATAAGAAAATAACAAAAAAGTTAAAAAAATATTGTGCCATAATGAAAACGCCAATAAAAAATTAAGCATTTAAAAAAAAAAAAAACTAAAATCACTAAGTAGAAGAAAACGCAATTATCAGAAACAAATCCACCCTCTTTAATCCAAATCTATTTATTTTATTTTTCACCAAGAGATTAGTAACTGTATGGTAAATAATGTAATTCATAGAAATTTAAATAGGCACTAATCAAAACACAATCCTAATTTCTCCAATTTTATATTATTGATAATTTAACATAATTATTTGCCTCATTTGCTCCCTTTGAGCTGTCTAAGATAAAAATTTTGTCATTTATTTCTTAAATAAAAATTACATTTGATTTGTGATATCCCTGTTTTTTTTTGTTTTTTTTCCAAACAAAACTGTTGGATTAAAAAAAAAAGTTTCATATTTTATTAAAAACACTTTATATAATATTGAAGATAACAGGATGGCTTCAATCAAAATTCTTTTTTAAATGTGCGTTTCATATTTTAATATTTGTTTAAAAATGCAAGAAACTTAAAAATGTAACAATATACTATGTATTAATTTAAAATAATATTCATGTTTACTTATTACTTTGGCAATAAGAAATAATAAAAAAGTGACAGCTTATAACAAAGTCACTGGTTACAATCAGAAATCAAAGTTTCTACATTAATCTCAAGTAGAAACTGATTTCGACCACATGGTATTTTCCAATCCTCATCACATAAATTTAACTCTGGCAAACTGAAAAATATTGACAAACAAACAACATGCAAATTTAGTATTTTATTCCATCATGGAAGTTAAGAACAATTGTCAATACATTCAGCTTACAAATAATCAGAGCACTTGATACAGAAAGTGAATATTTCTTGTATATTCTTCATTAGATGTAGCCTAGAGGAAGTATCCAAGTTTTATATTATTTCAATGCTATCCATTTACAAGAAAAGTCTTTCTTTTTATTCTTATCTCCATGACTGAATCACTTTAGAATGTCCATTAGCTGATTTTTTCTTTAAAAATTATAGTAAACAATTAGCGTTATTTTCATGAGTCACTATCTTTTACATTTATAAAGCAATTAGTTAGCTATTTAAAAGCTATGATAATTATTTATTTAAGGTTGTCTTATTTACTGCTCTATAATAGGGTCATTTGGTGCTACTCAAGCAACAGGAACTAATTTGTTTGGTCAAAACAAACCTGCTGCAACACCGTTTACAGGTAATTTATTTGGTGCTGGACTTGGAACTGGAGCTTTTGGGAGTACACCATCGAACTTCTCCATGGGCGCCTTAGGAACTAACACTGGTACTTCCCTATTTGGGGGCACTACAGCAAATAAAGCTCCTGGAAGTTTTGGTTTTGGAAATACAAATCCTTCTACATTTAGTATGTATTGTTTTCATATTATTCATTTTGAAAATATATATATATAGGGTGTCCAAAAGTTCTCATACAGTACGAGGGGGTTATTGAAATTAAGTTTCTCTTGGTGACTATGGACTGAGCTGTGTATGAAATACAAAATATATGAGATATTAAAAATAGACATAACTTTATTTTACCACCACGTAATTACCGAGTATGTTGAAACATTTGTCATACCATTTTTATGCTACAAAAAGCTCACCAGGAAAAAAAGTCAGGTCTCTGCATATGGAAGAAGTGTTGAACTTAATGGCTTGAATGACTTTGGCATTGCTTTCAAAGCGACGTCAGCCAAAATACTTCAAAGTCTGGAACAGATGGAAGTTACTGGTACAAGGTTAGGGCTCTATGGCGCTTGATCAGGCACCCTCTCCGAACTAAGAGCTGCAATCTGATTTAATGCTGCTTGTTTTTTTCTCTTAATGTCATCCAACAACAAAATGCCAGGTCGCTTTTTCCAAATAGCCTCCTTCAATTTTGACGCTATGTAACAATACAGCATAGCATTGATGGTTCCAACCTCTAAAAAATACAGTAATGCAGTAACAATACTCTAAGACCAGATTGAGGCTCATCTCAGCTTTATCCAGGTACTGCAACAGCACCATCTATTTGATCATGCGTGGCTCCCCCAGGTCAGGGAGAACAGATAAAACTTGGAATTGCCAGGGAATTTTATTTTGACTCTATGAAACAAGGAATAGTTGCATTTTTTTTACGAAAATCTGGAACATACCTACATTATGCCTGTAAAATAACCAGTCATAATTGTCAGTAACAGTAATCAGTTATTAAGTTTCGAATTAAATAATTCTAACATTTATTACAATTATTTGTTGTAAAAATTTAACCTTTTAGTGAAAATAAATAAATAAAATCAGTTTTCTACAGAAAAATTGCATGGTATAGATAAAATATCTTTATTTGCATTGAAATTCTCCTAAAATGCCTGGAAAGTCAGATATTTTTTTCTTGAATTTAAGTGGGTAATTTAGTGGTAATTTAACCCTCCCATGGTTTCATGATTCCCAATGTTGTACGGGCGTCTTTCACGTCCAACTGCTGTCTTGTTTACTCCATTGATGTTTTATTTTCTGGGTAAATCTAGAGAAGCTACTTATTTTTTGACTTGCCCTTTTTTTACTATTGTAACATACATTTTAAAAGGAAATTTTAGTTTAAAATGATTTAGTAAGTATTCAACTTTTTGAAATATTAAAAACATGCAACTGGATATTTGTGAAATAGATATTGGATATTGTTATGCAATTGGATATTTGTGAAATAGAAGAAAATTTAAAATTACAAAAATGCCTGAACTATTGCTTGCAATGAGAAAGGAGAGGAATTAACCCATGGCACGCTTCAGGTGAATTAGACTTTGGTGATGGGGAACTTTTAATTTTGAGATAACCCTATCTATATAATCTTCAAAATGATCAATTGTAGTTGGTATCAATTCCAGACATACCACATAATAGAAAATGGTGCCCAGATTTTGTCTTTCACAACAGTTTGGGAAGTTTTCTAAAGTGGTAAATGATGTAAAGTATGTCTAATTAATTTTTTTAATGATTTATTTGTTCTGGTTTGTTTTAATTTAAGAATACTTTTTAGCGGTTCATTTTTTATTTATTTATTTTTTTAGGTTTTGGTGGAAATAATGCCAATGCATCAAGTTTTAATTTTGGAGGAGCGTCGTCCCAACTGCCATCTACGTAAGTTATATAAGCTACCTTTTTTGTTCATTCTATAATTTGAATGTTTCCATTCCATTCTAAACTGAATCTAAGAAAAATCGTAATTTATTTGTTATTAGTTTAAAACAAGCATTAGTTTTCTTGTTTGAAAGGTTTTTAATATAAAAATCATTGTAATCAAATGTTTAATACCTTAAATGCTTAATAATTTTCTTTGATATTAAAACCTTCATGTAAAAATGTTGCTAATTATAAAATTTTTTTATACAGCTTATTTATATGACATTAGCTTGAAAGTAGTTGCAAAATTTGTTATAATACATTTCAATCAACCATGAAGGTGTTTTGCACACAAATGAAAAATTCTAAAAAAAAGTAATTTTTAATTTACTTTTTATTTGTTTTAAAATTATAGATAAACTTTTAAATTGTAAATTGAGTTTTCTTTTTATGAAAAAAAAGGAGGAAATATTCAAAAAGTTTTTTGCATTGAGAATTATAGATTTCAACAGTATTTTTCTATTGTGTCCAGTATCCTTGTTCAGTGATACTGGACATCTGTTTGGTTGAAGTGATCCACTGGGACTGTACATCTGATTTCGATCGAACAGGTCCCCTGTTTAGTTCCATTGGACAGATTTCATTGACATACTTGAAGATATATTTTCCAATTTTTTTTGGTGTAGTATATTAAATTAAAATATAATTTACACTTTTGTTAAGGTATTTTTATTATCTCTAAAAAGTGAGTAGACTGTAATGGGTTAAAATATGTATATTTCCTAATTTAAAATTTCTTTATCTGTTTATTTTATACTTTTGAGGGCATTTAGCTTATTTGTTTAGCTTTCTTGATGTCTTCATATTTAAATGCACTTCTTATTTTCTGTCTTCTTATTTTCGATTTGAGTATTGTTGCAGGTCTAGTACCACATTGTTAGCAGTTAAAAAAATCTATAGGTTAAACATTAGTTAGTTTTCCTTTATGTTTATCAACCTTTTTTTCATTTTCTTGAATTTATTTCCTTTTTCATATTAATTATTTATCACATTAATATTTTCTTTTCCATTATTTCAAAATTTGAATTTTGAGTAACTTATTTTTTCCATTTGCTAATTCATATTTATATATTTTTTCTTTTACAGTGATCCTAATAATTCTATGGCACTTCAGCAAATTCAACAGCAAATTTTAGCAATGGCATCGAATCCTTTTGGTGATAATCCCTTATTCAGAATTCCTATAAAGGTATTTTATCCACATTTCTTGTGTGGATTCTAATTTTGTTGCGAATCACTAATGATATATTTTACCACAAAATATTTTATAGTAGAAACAACATATAAGATTCATTTACTAATATGACAAAAAGATTACGATTATTTGACCTCATTATAATTAATATTCAGCTTATAGGAAGAACCATCAAAATGTTTGTATGTAGTTATTTCTTTATATAGTTGCATGCCTGCCAAGTCTCCTGTTTTTTTAATGAGGACTCTCGTACTTTATGACTATCTTCCGTTTATCCGTATTTTCTCCTGTTTCTCTTTTCTTAAAATAGCTTTAAAAAAAAACTTTTTTAGTGATAAATATTCGCTATTGGCAATAATACTTCTCTTATTCCTCAATGGATGGTTCTATTGCCAGTACTGCAGTTCAATTGCTGCCACGCCAATCAAACCGTATGTAATGAAACTACTGTTGTGAGTCATTCATTCAGTGAATAGTTTTTTCTCCGATAACGAACTTCATTATTGACCTACAGGAGTGCAGCAATAACTTCGTTTGTTTGCATTGCATTTTTGAGGATCGACAAAATAAACATGTAACTGTTTTCAGAATCATTTATTGTGGATGTCAATTGGGCAACTGGAAAATGAACTGTATAAAAATAAAAAAACAGTTCGAAATTATAGCGGATGTTATATTAGGTATCCTATGCATTCTGCATAGCAACACAGAGCGTGATAGAATTTTCTTTAAAGTTAAAAAAATTCGTTTAAATTTCGCTCGTTACTTTCAAATGAAAAGCTTGAAAGTTTGCTTTTGATAAAAAGTTTTTTCTCTACTAACTGTTATGAACAAAACTTTGATAAAAATTTTCTATGCAAAGCCAAATCAGCTACAATTCGAAATATAAATATGTAAAAAATTCTGTAAAATAAAGCTAATTGCTTAAATTATAAAAATTATTTTGATTTTGAGCATTTATAGTGTAAATAATTTTGAACAATGGTTTAAAAAATCTTTTATAGATTACGATTTATTTACCTATATTTTTCTTCTCTAAGTGTAAGTGCTTATATTTCCAATTATGAATTTCTCTTTTCGACTTGCATAATCATGCTTCAAATCATGCATGTATCAAAACTGTACATGTTGCCCAAAAAATGTCGCTAGTAAAATCTCTGTTATTTTATTTCTCCAATGTTACAAGGCATTAAGTTGCATTTATTTATGTAACTAGTTTACAAGCAGTATTGTTTCTTAATTTATGATATTGAAGAAAAAAAAATTCATCATAAAATTATCAAAACAACTGATTATATCAGTAATATCAGAACAACTTAATTTGGCATGGAAACAGATATATTTGAGTAATATTACTATAGAAAATTTAAATGAATAATTTTATAATTTTTTTTATTTATTCAGAAATACTATTATGCATGTCATGGTTAATCTACTTTGTAAATATATTCTTTCTGAAGCACTATCTATGTATCTCTATTTTATTTACATCTCTCCAAATTTATTATTTTTGTTTAAAAAAAAATGCAAACACAACATAAGTTTAAAATATTATGTTTGTGTTGTGAGAAATATCATTTTCTGATAATATATTCACTTTTTTAGGATTCATCTCGAGAAATAGAAGTACTGAAACCTACAAATCCATCAGCACAAAAAGCTTTATTGAATGATAGTCATTATAAAGTTGATTTACTGCCAACTGCTAAAATAAAGCCTAAACCTTGGGCACCTGTTCCATCAGGAAAAGTAAGTTTCTAATCTTGCTAGGTATCTAGGGTAAAAACTTTTGTAATTAAATGTTTTAAAATTCCTTTTAAGTACTCATTGTTGACATGATATTAAACAAAGAAAAATTGCAGTGAATTGTAAGTTTGAATTGTGTTATGCACATTGAATTCAAATACAGAATTCTGAAAGTATCTTATTTCTTGCTAGTATCATGCTAGTTTTATTTATGTATGGTATTTCTCCAATCTGCATCTAAATGCTTATTTGACACATTCGATTTAAATTTCACACCTTAAATTTGAAATGATTTCTATTATTTTTTGGTATCACCTTGAATTAATCATATAGTAGATTATTGTTTTTATGATATTTCTCCGCTAATGTATATTCATCCTCATCTCTAAATGAATATTCTGAGGGCTTAGGTTATGAGGTCAGATTCTGTGTATCCTGTCTCCCATGCTAACTTGTGGAGAATTATGTTCCCTATATATTAAGGCATTAATTTATATTTTAAAATAATTTGTTTCATTTTATCTGTCAAATTTTATATAGATTAGTTACAAACTTTAAATTTTTTAGGCTTTAAATATTTTTTTAACTTGCTCAAATTCTGCAATAGTACCTATAGTGGTCTTGGGAAAATTTTAAAAGCTATTGAGATCATAAATAAAATTTGGTAAATTATCTCCATTAAATACATTTATATGAATAAAAAAAGATTTTTTAAATATTAAGGATACAGAACCTGTGGCTCAGGTGTCCAGTTTGGCTCTAGAATAATAAATGATCGGCCTTCTGACTACCAACTATAAATTAATTGCAAAAACTGTATAAGTAGCATAAAAAAATTATGGCTTTTCAAATTGATTGTTATAAATTTCGAAAAAAAAAACTTTAATTAAAAATCCATAATGTAGTGGTTATAACTCAAGGTGTCAAGATTTTTTTTTTTTAACATATTGATCTTTTCAGGAAAGTTTATTTCAACGAAAACATGTTCAAATATTTATTTAAAAATTATAGAAGTTCAAAGTAATTTATTTAGTGTAAGACTTTAATGTTTTTTGCTTTAAAAATATTTTACATGTACTTTGGCTTCTATTTTTTATGCCAAATTGATGTTCTTCTTATACTAAGGAATAATTGAATATTTATCAATTGATATAAAAGAGTTTTTGCAACCTACTTTAAACGAAATGTTTTCTACATTAGCTTTTCTTTGAAAAAGACTCCTAAGATAGCAACTTAATAAATAGAGAACTAATATTCATATAATTCTTCATAGGTTAACACCAGAGACAGGGAAAATAGAATTCCATTGTAAAGTAATATTTAAAAATTTTAATGCTTTTTTTTGGAACTAAAATGCATTTAAATTTGTGTTAAGCCAAATTTCTTCATTCATTACTTTTTAGATGCATGTTTTCATTATATTTCTATCTTTAAGGTATTTTTGTTTGATGGTCTGGAAGATGAAGAACCTAGTCTTGGATCTGTTGCTTTTGTACCCAAAAGAAGCATAAAGAAATTAGTATTGAAGAATATTGGGAATTCTGATTCCAGCCTTACTTTGACTTCAGATGTATCAACGAGTCAACCAACTCGAATTGATGTCTCAATCTCCCTCAAAAGTCCTCAAAATATCACTGATAAAAGTCATGGGGATCAAAATGCACCATTGACAACCAATGTCTCTGATAGGTAATTTTCCACTTCTTTATTGCTAGTTCTTAGCCTCTCTCTCAACCATAAAATTACATAAAAAAATAAATAAAATAAAAAACTACTGAAAAGTAAATTTTTTTAATACCTTATTTTGATACTTTTTTTCAATTTACAAACAGATTGTCCTTTATGTTTATCAACCAATTTTGTTTCTTGTGTAGTGAAAATATTCATTCCAATAGCTTTATAACTTGAACTCTCTTCTGAAATTTAATCTATTTGAGTTTTTTTTTTCAATTAAAAGGGAAAAAAAGTGTAGAATATCTAATCTGATCCTTTTCTTCAGTTGTTAAATTATTGAGAAATCATTTAACTTCTTTAATAATTTGTTTTTATCTTTGTTTTTACAATTATGTACTTGTCATTGTGAAAAAAATGTAATTTGTAGAATACTAAATAAATATATAATTTTGCATTTTAATCCTATTGCAAGCATTAGATATTTCTATGTCAAAATAGTCCCACTGAGAAACCATAGCATCCTTTTTATTTCTTATACGCAAACTGGTTTCTCTATTTATTTAATGCATCATATTCTGTCTTTCATTTAAATGCAAAAATTCACAAAAAGTACACTTTTTTATATGCACGGCAATTTTTGAGTTGAGTTAATAACCAAATTTGAATATAAAATCTGCATAGCTAAGAAAGAAATGGATTTGGTAAAAAAAATCATGTGATAGGGCTTTTTTTTGGAGATATGTTACATGTAGAATGTTACTCTATTGAACTTCATTTTTATAGTTTTATTTTTCAGTTTCCTTTTTAAGGTTTGCATTTTTGGGAACGGTTCTTAAGTGCACTGATTTTCTTTTCTTTCTAGATTTTATTTAAAGTTAGACCTTAAAGTTTATAATAAATTAAAAGTAAGGTGATTTAATTCATCATATTGTGTTGCTGTCTACTAGTGTATCTAATAACTTTGAATTGATTTAACTTTTGACTTCTAATAAGTATGCAACGGTGCTTTAAAAATGTGAAAGTTACAAAAACATACCTACTAAGTCTCCTGTTTTTTAACAAAGACTCTTGTACTTTACGATTATCTCCTGTTTACCTGTATTTTCTCGAATTTCTCTGTATTTGTTGAAGAAATTAAAAAAAAAAAAAAAAAAAANTTCCAATAGCTTTATAACTTGAACTCTCTTCTGAAATTTAATCTATTTGAGTTTTTTTTTTTTCAATTAAAAGCAAAGAAAAGTGTAGAATATCTAACCTGATCCTTTTCTTCAGTTGTTAAATTATTGAGAAATCATTTAACTACTTTAATAATTTGTTTTTATCTTTGTTTTTACAATTATGTACTTGTCATTGTGAAAAAAATGTAATTTGTAGAATAATATATAATTTTGCATTTGTAATAAATATATAATTTTGCATTTGTAATAAATATATAATTTTGCATTTTTATCCTACTATTGCAAGCATTGGATATTTCTATGTCAAAGTAGTCCCACTGAGAAACCATCCTTACAGATTAGCATCCTTTTTATTTTTATACATATACACAAACTGGTTTCTCTATTTATATAATGCATCATATTCTGCCTTTCATTTAAATGCATTTTATTAAAAATTTACTAAAAGTATATGCACAGCAATTTTCGAGTTGTGAGTTAATAAACATATTTGGTAAAAAAAAATCATGTGATAGGACTTTTTTTGAGGTTTGTGTTTTTGAAAGGTTTTTAAATAAGCCATATTTTTTTCTAAATTGCCCATAAGTTTAGACATGAGGATTTACAGCCGACTAAAATTATGTATTATCTAAACCTAATTCATTATATTGTACTATTTTATGGTGCATCCAATAAACTCTAATTGAAATATTATTCAGAGCTACTTTTTAAAACTTTTGGTAGTTTTCTTTGTTTGTAGTTTTCTGATTTTCTTTTCTTTCTAGATTTTATTTAAAATTGGACCTTAAAGTTTATAATCAATTAAAATTAAAAGTAAGGTGATTTAATTCTTCATATTGTGTTGCTGTCTACTAGTGTATCTAATAACTTTGAATTGATTTAACTTCTGACTTCTAATAAGTATGCAACGGTGCTTTAAAAATGTGAAAGTTACAAAAACATACCTACTAAGCCTCCTGTTTTTTCCTGTTTACCTGTATTTTCTCAAATTTCTCTGTATTTGTTGAAGAAATTAAAAAAAAAAAAAATTGGTGATAAAATATCCGCTAAAGGCAAAAATTCCTTAACAGATGGTGCTATTGCCAATACTGCAGTATGTTGAGTGATTATAGTAATTATGAAGAATGGTTTTAAAAAAATCTTCTTTAGATTTATATACATATTTTTTACTTCACTAAATGTAAGTGCTTATATTATTTCCTATTTTGAATTTTTCTTTGACTTCTGATTATGCATGATGTATCAAAACTTTACTTGTAGCCTAAAAATGCTGCTAGTAAAATCTCAGTTATTTTATTCATACCTTTATGTTCTAAATGAAAAAGGGAAGCAGATTTCTACTTAAATGACCTTTTTGTAAAAATAATATGAAGTTTTTTATACATGATGACTTAATGCTTTTATATATGTGATCTTATTTCTCGCATTTAAATCTTTAGAGAAAACAACACAGCAGAAAGAAGACTGCTAAGTGGAGGAGAATCGCCTTCTTTAGAAATCACACGAGAAATTCTTTCTTCTAAGCCAGATCTAGTTCCAAAGTAAGTTTAATAACTAATTTAATTTATTTTAGATTTTATTTATTATAAATGTAAGTGTGAACTTAAAAAATATTAGTGTTTATTCATGGGAACTGACAAAAGATGTTTTTTATATTTTTCTCATATTTATCTTTATACATAGCTGCCAACTACTACTGGTTTTTTCATTAGACTACTGGATTTTGCCAGTTTCTCCTGGTTTACTGGTTTAATTAAAATTCTTCTAGTTTTTGTACAGATTAGTTAGTTTCCTAAAAAAATTCCTATTGAAATAGAATTTTTGTGCAGATTATTGCTTGAATATTTAAATAAGTGTTACTAATACACGATGAAGCGAGCCTCATTTATAAGAATCAGTCAAACTTTTTTTTGTTCTAAAATGTTACGTTTACTTCTAATCAGAATTCCCTTTTTAAATTAAGAAATCTTTTTGATTAATTTTGAATTAAAGGCCTATTACTGTTCAAAATTTTGAGTAAGCATCATACATAACATTTCGAGATCATTTAATGTTAATCATAACTGTAAAATATTGCAGTTTTTCTATTTTGATGACTATAAAAGTTCCTAAAATTCCCTATGTGTAAAATATTTCGTACATTTTGAGATATTTTTTATGTTATTTCGTTAAATCTACTGGATTTTTTTCTCTCTATGTTTGCAGCTATGTTTATACTATAAAGTTTTTTTTTTTTAAATTTTACTTTCAAAGTTTTTACAATTTTAGAATGCAAGATACACATAATTTTAAAGTATGACATCAGTGTTTTTAAATTTTTGACTTTTATTTCTAGATTTTAAATCAATGGAATTTTTTACATGATTAAAATTCAGATTTATACTATTCCTTGCTAGATTAGGCTTATAAACTATTTATAATTTAATTTTAAATTTTAGTTACTGATTCTCTATTTCTATTCAGTCTAGGTTCCAGTTTTAATGATAGTATTGCTGCTTTGCACACAAACAAGCAAAGATTCACTGGACAAACCATCAATGTGTGGAATGATTCTGCTGATGACAGTAGAAATTATTCACTGGATGAATCATTAAATACAACTTCCAATGTGGATGAGGAATCGAATGTGAACTCTGCTGGGATAAAGCTAACAAAATCAGGATACTACACATTACCTTCAATGGAGGAAATATCATCATTGTTTGATGAAAATAAAAGGTGTTTCGTAAATAACTTCACGGTTGGCAGAAAAGGATATGGAAAAGTGATGTTTCCTGGTGTTACAAATGTTGCTGATTTAAACCTGGATGAAATAGGTAAGTTTGTATGTTTTAGTGTATATATATATCAGTGTTTTCACTACAGCGCGAGAACGCGAGAATCTCACATATTTTTTTCTTTTCTCGCATTAAAAAATTATTACTGCGAGAAATTCGCGCATTCTATAAATCAATTTCAAAATTCGCGAATTTCTCGCATTTTGGAAGAAGCTTCGAATTACGCTATTTAGAATAAAATCCGTTTCACTTTTCTTCCTGGATCTCTCATTATTTTCAACATTTGCTCCGTTATCTAGCTTCCCTATTTACCAGTATTGTTCAGAACCTTTTCGAACAACAGAACACAACCGAACCACGGAACCCCTTTCAGAACACATTTCTCTGCAACCACGTGTTTACCGTAGGTAAGGTTTTTTCATGTAAGACGTTCAAATTTTTTATGCACTAATGTAAGATGGACAAATACCTAGTAAAGGCAAAATCTTCTATGATGATGCAGCAAGAATATCCAATGCTTTAAAAAATAGAAGACATTAAAAATGTATTATAATTAAAGAAATTATTTTTTTTTCAAGTCTATTTGTGTTTTTTAAGTTTTTGGAAATCTCACTTAACTTTCTGAAATCTCACCCTGTTTTTGAGAAAGGGTGAGAAATTCTCACCCATTTTTTTTCTATGATGAAAACACTGATATATGTATATGTATATTATTATTATTTAAATTTGTTTTTAAAAAAGTTTTTTTTTCTACACCCTGTAAGAAAGGTTTATAGATTAAAAAAAGAAGAAAAATCTTACATATATAGTTGATTTAGAAATAGCATTTATATCATCTTATGATGGAGATGATATACCTTGTTGACACCTTGGTTTTTGCTATTTCTAAAAAAATTCAAATACTAGAATGTTGTTGTTACTAGGCACAAATATACTTGATTGTTAATATGTAGTTTGAAAAAAAAAGAGAAAATTAAAGCTTGTAAAAAATTATATAGAAAGCAAAAATGAGCCAGTATGTATACCAATACCTCAGTTATACAGCAGCATCTAATATGCACTTATGATGTACATTTAGATTAATTATCTTAGTAATTATTAATACCAAGGGTATTACTGATATTACACATTAATTTTTTCCCGTAACTTTGCAAAGTTCTTACTTAAGCCATTTTTCTTCTCATTTCTGATTATTTTTACCTAAGAATTCATTGTTTTGAAGCTAAAGAAATTTTTTGTATAGTTATGTCAGAATAGCAAGACAGCTTAAAAAACAACTGAGAAACATTAGCTTATTTGTTCTTTTGTATTTTATTACAGTGTGCTTTCAAAAGAAAGAAATTACAGTTTATCCTGATGATGATAAGAAGCCACCTGTTGGAGAAGAATTAAATAAAAGGGCAGAAGTTACACTTGATGGTGTTTGGCCTATTGACAAGACAACTCACACATTAATCAAGGTATTTTTTTTTAAATATGTCATTATACTTGTCTGGTAAGACGCACAGACGATTAGAAACTGAAAGTGATTGTGCATTTACCACTATTACAAATGTTCATTTGTACCACTATCAGTAACAAGTGGAATAAATTTCACCAATTTCTGACAATTTCTTCACAGTGTTACAACTTTCACAAACATTAGTGTATATAGTTTGTTTCTAATGTGATGTTTATTTGATTGTTATTATTAAACATAAAATGAAATTTCTATTTTAGGATTCTGATAGACTTGAGAAGATGGGTTATAAAGAAAAGATTAGAAATTCTACAACAAAATTGGGAGCTAAATTTATTGATTACATCCCTGATACTGGTTCTTGGATCTTTGAGGTAAATTTTTTTGATGTACTTGAATACATTTTTTGATATTTTATGTTTTTAAGTATTTTCTAAATGTATTTTGAAATACTTATGAATAGTTAAAGCCAGCTCATGAAATTTTCACTTGTCAGCTCTCCACTGATGACCAGATATTTGGGGCTGATGATAGGTTTTGTCTTGTAAAATGTTGTGTTTAAATCAAACTACTATCTATATTTGTCTCCAGAGTTAGCATTTATGTGCAAAATCTGGGAACGACGAATCTGTGAGAAAACAGGACTAGAAATGAACATTTCTGACATTTTTCTTATTTTTATAATCTGTGGATTTTGAAACCTTATGACATCCTTATTTTACATAAATATTATTATTGCAATTAATATGTTGAAATTTTTCAACATCCTTTTATGGTTTTGGTCATTAAAAAGTTCCTTATTCTACAATAATTAACACTTTAAAAAAAAATTTTTTTGTCAAACTAGAGGGAACAAAATATTTTTGCCTAGCTAGTTTCTTTGGAACTAAAATTATATACCTTGGTTTAAGCATGAGATTAAATGGCACTATCCATTTTGGAAGCATGAAATTCATTTAAAAAAAAAAGAAAAAATATGACTTGGTTTACACTACCGGTCAAAAGTTTGTGAAAATTTTGAAATCTACAAAGAAAAGGTCTAAATTCAAATGTTTATAGAACTGCGAAAAATCATTCAANTTGCTTAGATAGATTGCATTACCTCTCTATTTTTTTCTAGCATTTACTTCTGGTGCAGAGAGGCCAATTTTGACTCTGGTACAATTAAACTCTTGCTTCAATTTGTCTGAATTCTAACTTATTTTTATATGACAGATTTTTCCTCAAATTTCTTTCATCTATTTTGTTTTCAAATATTTTTTCTTTATTGGAGTTCAAATATCAATATGAAATCCAGGTGTTAGAAAAGACTTGCATTCCTGCCACTTTTTATATATTATGCGTAAAATGTAAACATTTTCAATCATCTCTATGCTATTATATTTCTACCATTTTTCTTTATTTTAAATTATTTTCTCCAAATACTGTGTTAGTCAATTTTTCAAACCCACAAAATTTGACGAAAATCAAATTAGCGCTTTAAATGATAAATTTAGAAATCGTTTTGTTAATAAATTTGATTTAGATATTTTTATTAATATATTTATCATTAGAAAATATTTTTAATCATTTTTATAAGTCTCTAGTTTATACTAGTTTGTTATTGAAAATTTTAATATTTTGTTTTATATTGGTAATAAAATCTAAGATTACTTTACTTGCTGTGTGTTTTCCTCTGTTATGTGTGAGTGTGACCCTCTCGACTAACGGGTATCTGTGATGTGGGTAACGTTGCTTGCCTCTGTGACTTAGGTTCACAGGTGCCCGCTAGGTAGCGTTAAATGAGCAACTCTACCAGCGTATTCGGAGGGGAGGAACGAAAGTTTAGTACCTGCCGTTAGAAAAAATAAGTATTTGTATCGAAGTTTTAGGATTTATATTATATGTTAGCATATTTGTCAGAATCTATATATTTTGAAAATTATTGTATCTATTTGAACTATTTGAGTATATAAAAGGTATTTAAGTTATTTGCTTCGAATGATTTATTTTGCTGTAACTTTCGCTGCAAGATATCACTCGTTGTTTTTAGACTTGGATATTGATAAGATTGCAACTTACCAATTTTTTTTTGTTTGAAAATTTGTCTTATTTGCTTTTTTGGTAGGTTGAACATTTTTCAAAGTATGGATTAGAAGATTCCGATGAAGAAGAGATGGATGTTGTCAAACCAGTCGAAAAAAATGCAGGCACTGAAAATAAAGTAAATACTTAGTAACTAATTTACTCATTAGTGTTTTGTGTATTATGTTTGCATTTCAATAGTTATAATGTTATTGTTCAAAATAAAATCGGTTTGACGGAAAACTATCAGTTGAAAATCAAAAAATAATAATAAATAGTTAATCAAAATAGTTTCTTATTCTCATTTATATTTTTTTATTCATATATTTTAACCTTTTCCTTGTTAAAAATGTTAATATGCTTTTTCATCATTTGTTAACACATCAGTTGGTAATCTTTACTAAATATCATACGATGTTGTAGTTCATTTACGTCGCACTAGAGCTGCACAATGGGCTATTGCCGACAATCTGGGAAACATCCCTGAGGATGATCCGAAGACATGCCATCTCAATTTTGATCCTTTGCAGAGGGGATGGCACCCCCGCTTCGGTAGCCCAACGTCCTGCATGCGAAGTCGAGCACTTTACAGTAGCACAGTTTAACGAGGACCAATACCGCACACCCTCGGTCCCTACGCAGACTGATCCAAGTGGGTCACCCACCCGCACACTGACCGCAGCCAGTGATGCTTGACTTCGGTGATCTGCTGGGAAATGTGTCTTAACGATCAGTCCACTGCGGGACAAATATCATACGAAAAAGAAATCTCTTTTTTATAACAGAAGTTTCAACTTCTTAACCATTTTGAAGTAGTTGATTCTTAAAAATCTCTTAAAGTACTCCCTACAAGAACTGTAGAACTCCTATTTTCCCTATTATCCCTGTTCCCTTTTTTTCCGCTGTTATTTCCTACTTTCACTTTTTTTTTTTAAATTATGTCTTTTCTGCTATTTCTCTTCTGAACATAGTGACAGCCTGTTCTCAAAAGACCTTTGAATAACATCTAAAAAAATGAATCCAAATTTTTTTGGGGGGGTATTTTTTACCTTTTTTCTTTCTATTTTTCTTAGGAGGAAACTGGAATAATGACTCAAGGTCAAATACTGCAACTGCACATGATTTTCAATTCCTTTTTTTTAATGGGGTGTGAGGAGGGGGCAGAACATGGTAGAACATGAATTATTTTTATTATGTCTGCTTGCTAATTTAACTGAAAACTGCTGGTTTAACTGGAGTAGAGGAGAAATAAAATCACTCATCTTGATGAGGAATAAGATTGTGATACACATGTTTTTCCTTCTGATTTCAATTAATGTTTTATCAAAATGTTGAAACCCAAGTTAAACTCTTCTAGATAGTAATTGCTTGCCAGAATCGCGGCGATATTGTCACAGAACATTACAGACTTTATTGTAGAAAGAATTTTCCTTTGGGAAGTAAAAAATTTCTTTTTCTGCAGAAATTTTCGAAAGATTTTTTTCCCCATCCAGAAATATATATTCAAACGATGTCTTTCTAGCTCATAGGAGGAGGGAAAAGAAATGCTCGCGATTTTTCCCTTCTCATTTGAGATTAATAAAGAATAACAAAGTAAAAAATTTTGTTTTTCTCCAGAAATTTTGGAAAGAATTTATTTTTCATCCAGAATTATACTCAAATGTTGTCTCTCTCAGACATAGGAGGGAAAAGAAAAGCTCTGAGTTTTCCATTNGTACACTCTCGGTCCCTACGCAGACTGATCCAAGTGGGTCACCCATACGCACACTGACCACAGCCAGTGATGCTTGAGTTCGGTGATCTGTTGGGAAACGTGTCTTAATGATCAGTCCACTGCGGGACAAATATCATACAAAAAAACAATCTTTTTTTAATAACTGAAGTTTCAACTTCTTAACCATTTTGAAGTAGTTGATTCTTAAAAATCTCTTAAAGTACTCCCTACAATAACTGTACAACTCCTATTTTCCCTATTATCCCTGTTCCCTTTTTTTCCCCTGTTATTTCCTACTTTTACTTTTTTTTAATTTTAAATTATGTCTTTTCTGCTATTTCTCTTCTGAACATAGTGACAGTCTGTTCTCAAAAGACCTTTAAATAACATCAATAAAGTGAGGATTTTTTTTAAAATTTAAAAACAAATCGTATTATATTTTACTAAAAAATGTATAGTGTTTGTTTTCATAGTCTACTCTAAAAAAAATTAATCAAATTTTTTTTTTGGGGGGGGGGTATTTTTTACCTTTTTTCTTTCTATTTTTCTTAGGAGGAAACTGGAATAATGACTCAAGGTCAAATATTGCAACTGCACCTGTTTTTCAATTCCTTTTTTTTTAATGGGGTGGGAGGAGGGGGCAGAACATGGTAGAACATAAATTCTTTTTATTATGTCAGTTCTGTGTCTGCTTGCCAATTTATGTTTAACTGGAGTGGAGGAGAAATAAAATTGCTCAGCTTAATAAGATTTCACACATACAGGAGTTTTTTCTTCTGATTTCGATTAATGTTTTAGCAAAATGTTGAAAACCAAGTTAAACACTTCTAGATAGTATTGTCATGTGCCTGAACCATGGCGATTTTGCTGCAGAACGAACATTTGAGAGTTTTTACAGAAAGATTCTTCCTTTGGGAAGTAAAGAATTTTAAATTTCTTTCCTGCAGAAATTTTTTAGACAATTTTTTCCCCCTCAGAATTATATTAAAAAGATGCCTTATTCGAGTTCGGAAGGAAATACACTTGGTTTTCCTCTTCTCATTTGAGAATAATGAGAAATAAAGAACAATGAAGTAAAAAAATTTGCCTTTCTTTTCCATTCAGAATTATATTCAAATGATGTCTTCCTCGTTAGGAGGGACGCATAGGAGAGAGAAGAAATGCTTGCGAGTTTTTTCTTCTCATTTGAGAAAAATGAAAAATCAAGAATAATTTGTTTTTGTTAATAACGAAAAATAGTGAAATAAAAAAGAGTGGATGGTTTTGAATCCTGACGCAGACAACAGCGAAGTGGAAGAAAGCGACTAGGAAGATGAAAACCAAGGAGCCAATCCCTTCGTTCCGAGCGAACATTGTATCGAGTTGGGGAAGAAAAAGAAAACGATTAAGGGGATGGAGCAAAAACCGTTTTTGGACGAATCTCACATTATGTCAATTTATAATTCAGCAGAGTAAGATTCAGATAAGTTTTTTTTTTAAGAAAAGAAACTGCTTGATACTTTTTTTCTCTTCATTTTGCCTTTTTTGCTTATTTTATATTAAGCCTGTATATCCTTTTTATTTCATTAATTTTTTCTCCTTTTTATCTTATTAAACTTATGTTTATTAGTTTATCATTTTTTCTTTTTATGACTATTTTTTAAAAAAATTTTTTTTTTTTTAATTTGGTTTCATAAACAATAAAAAAATGGCGTTTTGTAGCGATTTAGAAAACCAGAGAATTCAGTTATCCGGAATAGCGATTGTCCCGATCATACCAAATAATCAGTTCTCTACTGTGTATATATATCAGTGGGGGGGAAGAGAGAAAAAATTTTTTGACTGATCTAATTCTTTGACTTATATATGGTTATTGCAAAATTTGATTGTCCCTGCAACTACATTTCATGAATCAAAAAAATAAATAAACGCTGTAATTTATAAAATTGCATTCTAATTGATTGATATGTATTTTTGTTCAAATATAGAAGCTATGATTTATATTAAAATGTTTATAATTTTTTATTGTTAATTTAGCAGGTTAATGGATTTCAAATACCTGGGTTTGTGAAACAGACTGTACCAAAAACTGTTGGACTATTCTCTGATCAGGACATGGAAATAACGTCTCCTAAGACTCATTCTACACATTTGAACTTCATTAATGGTAATTTTTTTTAACTTTATTTTTAAATATTTTTGCCTTGAGGCTATTTTAAGGGTTTTAAAGGCAGGCAAGAAAAGTTTAGTTTAATTTTTCAAATGTTTTAGAAATTGGGGTGAATTTTTTAATCTTAGTGTGGTATAAAATAAAGTTATATTAATTACCATTTTTTTAGAGAAATTTTTTTAATGATTACTGTAAATTTCAACAGAATTTTACTTAGTCTTAAGCTCAAGTAATCGGAATATCAGAAGTTTGTAATTAAAAAAAAAAAAAAAAAAAAAAAAAAAAAAAAAAAAAAANAAAAAAAAAAAAAAAAAAAGAAAGAAATCAATGATTAGTTCATTTGAAAATCTACTGTTTAGTACAAATCAATTGTTGAGGAATATCCTCTATGACAACTTCATACTTATGCATACAAAATATGTTTTTCTTGCTGAGGGTTAATTTTATTTCCATTTATAAAAAGCTACAACTTTCTTTTCTTGTAATTAGTGCAAAAAGATCAATAGATTGGTCATTAGCCACATTTATATTTTGTTCGTTAATTGACATTTAATAAATTTATTCACGATTTAATCTCATACTTTCAAATTGTGTATTTTTTACATTTTTTGTGAAAAAAAGTTGTGTTGCATCTGACACAAAAATGCTGCTTAAACTTGACATTGTGGATTGATTATTGGTTTATCAAATATTGTTTCTTTTAATTTTTAAAATTTACCTCTGCTTATGAATGCTATATTAATGTATTTTAGATTTTATGATATTTAATGTATTTACGAAGAGTTATTAATGCTTACATAGTTTGCTGATGGAATTAACTTTACTTATATATATTTATACGTTTTTAATTTTAGATAAAAATTTCATACAAGATTTCACAGGTACAGTTAAGCCCATACTTAGTAGTATGGGGGATGCAGTGAAAATTAAAGAAATGAAATCCTCTCTTTTTGAAGAAGGCCTGGATGATAGCATGCTGGGTATGATGACTGTCTGAAATATTTACTTTTTAGACTTTATCAATACAGTTATTTTTATGAAAAAAGTAATTTTCATTATTTTTGTGAAAAAAATATTTTTCATTAATTGCACAGAAAGGAACATGAAAAGTAATATATTTATTACACAATCAATTTAACCTTTCAAGTTGCTCCTGGACGAAATCATTCTGTTCCTATTCTTCTTATACACGCTATTCCTATTAACCCTTAGAGGACTGGTGCCACCATATAAGCAACATGACATTTTTTCTTTCAATATATTTTATTATGGCATTTTATCGATCTTGTTGTTAGTTTTATTTATAATTATTAAAAATTATAACAATATAATAAGTTATTGTTATCTACAATTATAATAAATAAAATTAATTAATTATCCTTGGTGGGGAGTAAACTTGAAATACTTCTGGACTAGTAAGGGTTAAATAATATTATTAAAAAACAAGGGGTTACTATTTTTTTGATGCGAGATGCCTCCAGCCTATAATTTTAAAATCTAGCCAGGTCCGAAGCTTAGAGGATTAAGAAATGAAGTGCTTATTTTAAAACGAAACAAGTTACCTTACTACAGTCAATGACTTGAATAAAACTGCTTTTAAAAGCTACAGATGGTGTTAATTGAAACTTATTACATGATTGCTTGAATTAGTAAAGCGTGATATTTCTGTTTGCAAATTTCCTTTCCTTTGTTCTAGAATATTTTAATGGGATTCCTGCAAGTGACGTATTGTGGGTATCTTTATCCTGATTGGTTGTTAAAATGGGGTATTTGTTTATATTATCAATTGTTCTTTCCATTCTATTTCGTGTTAGCCGAGTAGAACATAAACTAATTATGTATTGAAGTTGGCAGACACACAAAACAAATGTCACTGTTACAATAAAATACATAAACAAATAATAAATTTGAGTTAAGTAAAAGAGGTAGTAGAGAAGTAATTATTTTTTAACAAATTCAACGTCTAATACAAAGTTGAATTTAATTAAGTTCACGTTAATGAACATTCTAATTTATGGGAGAAACTTAGCTCAAACACTTCATCTGACTTATAAATCATCAGCTGGTGCTGAGGTCATAGGTCACCTTTCTCGAGTTCTGATGAAGTTGAGTTTCTTCGAGTTTCCCAAATCCTGATGAAATTGATCAATTCTGTTTGTAAATATTTATTATTATTTATTTTAATTTTAGATAACAATTTCATGCAAGACTTCACAAGCCCTGTCAAATCTATGCTTAGTAATGTGAGTGATGCAGTTAAAATCAAGGAAATGAAAGCCTCTCTCTTTGAGGAAGACATGGATGATTTTAGTATGATGGGTATGGTGACTATATGAAATGTTATGAATTTACTTTTATGACTATCTGAATGAATTTGTTCTTGAAATAAACATTTTATGAAATAAACTTTCCTGGACATGGATTAAATTGATTTCGTAATTTTGCTGTTTAAGTGTATCAGTAGAGTGTCTAAGTGGTATATATTCTTTTAAAAATAACGTTTTGTGTTATTCTAAGTTAATTAAGTTGTATCTTACAAGTAGTTACATATTTTATAAACTTAGTTGCGTGTATATATATATATAAATCTTTGATTGTGTAATTTACTATGTAATTGCATGAATTAAGTATTTTAAGAGATAACTAGAAATGCTGTGCATTTTGATATTTTTTGTAACATATGTTGATATATAACAATAAAATATTTCTTATTTCTTGAATTCTTTTATCTTTATTTTTATGCTGGTAAATTTTTCTTTGCTTACTTTTTCTATATTACTTTCTGTTATCTAATGCCACAAAGCAACAGCAAAAATATTCAAATTTATTACACTTAAAGAATTTGCTAGATATTTTACGGATTTTTCTATATTTTTGAATTTGTCTCTCATTTTTCTTGTCATGGTTTCATAACAGAAAATCAGCTGAAATATCTTTGAAGCTCTTTTTCTAAGGCTTTGATATTCTTAGTGTTAAAATCTCTGTTAATTGTTTAAAGTAAAACTTGTTAAACTATGAGATTTACAGTTGTTACAACTGCTTTTTTTAAATTAATTGTTAAAAAATGATTTAAATTTTAAAAAAACTGATTCAAATCTAATAATTTTTTTGATCCCAGTGTTAAAAGTTCAAATTATTCTAATGCTTTGCATATATGCACATTAAAATGAGTTCTAGTTTGGAATTTTTTTTTCTAAAATACCAAATTAAAATTAAGAAATTTATTAAAGCAGTCATTTTCTGGAATAAAGATGTTTATAATATTTAGGATTTGTAGGCCTCAGATGAAAACCTCAGAGAATTTAGGAGGATTTATAATTAGAACCCTAGATAACTAAACTTCTGTCGAATAGTTTTCGTCAGTTTTTTTTAAACATTAATTTTATCAACATTAAATTTTATTTGTGTCCCATAAACGAACATTAAATATTATAAATTTCTTTAAAAACTTTTTTAGAGATTTCTCTTAAGCTTGTTTTATCATTAATATAAGTGATTTGTAGTCTACAATTCAAATGATAGCTACGTATTAACAGTGATTTAAGCTTAGTTATCGGATGTTGAAGAACTCTGAAAAATAAAATTTTTAGCATAACTTGAAATTTTTTAAGCCTTTTCCTTAATAAAAAAAAAATTAAATTATGAAAGCTATAAAAGAGTGTTTGTTTTTTTTAAAATTTTTTTTTAAATGTCACTATTAGCAGGTTTTTAACCACAAGTTTTATTTCTAGTTTTTTAAGGTTTTGTGAAAGAGTTTTCATTTGAATTTAAGAAAATTTTGGAATTTGAATTTGAAGATTTTGGAAACAAAATATAGCAGGCAGACTTGTTGTGCTCTGCTAAATAAAAAAATGTATTTTCATAATTTTTTTTCCTGAATACATTTATTGCATATTTTACCCTTATAGTATCAATATTCTTTATTTAGTACTATTACTTGAAATGGTAGATATGTTTACTATCTTTTATAGGTTCTCCCTTGTATACAGGTAAAAAAGACTCATTTTTTTATCAAAAAGAAATACCATCTCTTGTGTCAATGCAAGCAACACCCTCAATGTCTTATGCTGATCAGCACTTAGATGTGTCTCAGAGGGAAGTGCAAAAAAAAATTAGATATGACCAAGAAAATGAGTCACCATCTATATCGTCATTTAAAAAACCAGATATAGGTGAGGCGATTGAATGATATCTTTTTAGTGTATAGTTGGCTTATCTGTTTGAATATATTTACCAATTTTCCTTATGATTTTCATTAGGTATTCAAAAATCTCTTTCAAACCTTACCATTTCAAGTACCAACCCACCAGAGTGGCTGACAAAATTACCAATAGTTAACAGTTCCACACAACATGTGCCACCACAACCTAGTTCTAAAGCAATAGCCTGCACTTCAAATAAAATATGCTTAAAACGTTTTAATGACTCTGTGTTGTTTGATAAACAACATCTTATAGCAGATGCTGGCTATTTCATGGGTAGAACATTTAGAAATGGATGGGATGCCAATAGTGTATTTACTTGTTTAAATAGTTCAGAAGAAGATAAAACTGACCGTAAGTATATAGCCTTGATTTATAATTTTCTTCTATATTTCATGTATTTTTTTCCAAATGCGGATACTGATAGCACTTTTTTGATAAACAGTTATTCTCAGAAAAGCTCTCACATGATTACATGCTTTATTTCTCCTGCAGAAGTCTTTTATTCCATTCATGTTTCTTCTGTTCAAATTCAACTTACCTCCCTTTTTCAGTTTAAGTATAATTGACTTTCTATAAATATAGCTTTAATTTTTTGTAATAATAGTGATAAAATTTTGAAATTATTCTGATCGACGCTTAACTATTTAAATTATAACTTTCTCTGAAAACAAATATGTATGAGGAATGACATATATAAATTGTAAGTTACAATATCAGCCAGGGCTATTACGATGGGGGGTTTCAATACTGCAGTATTTTCAGGTTAGGACTGCGAAATTTTAAATCTATTAATGAAAAGCTGAAAAATCATTAATTTTGTGATATTTTTTTTAAACATTATAAGAGTGGCTGATATTATTTAATTTATAAAAAACTGGATCCTTGCAAGGAAAATTTTGAACATCACATCTTGTTTCTGTCTGAAATATTTCTCAAAATGAGAATATAGATGGCAGCACAGTCATGTGATTAGAAACTGCTTTTTTTTAAAAATTTATTTATTTGTTTTTATTTATTATTTTTTTTCCCTATTTGTTTATGTCACTATAAAGTTATCTTTTGAAAAGGAATTATAAAATAATTGTCTCCCCTGTGAAGGGATATTTTGCACACCTTTACTTTTTCCAGATAAAAATCCCAATTCACATTTTTCTTAAGAAAACCTAAAAAATCTTTTTTCTTCTTCTTTTTTTTTTTTTTTTTTTTTTTTTTTTTTTTTTTTTGAATGAGCCATGGCTAATATTTTTATTTAATGTAAATCCAAAAGTGTGATGAAAAACTATATCAAAACAGGGATTAGGGGTCTCTTTTTAGATAAGGACTGCCAATACCTTATGCATCCCGTAAAAAACTTGAAACAGCAGTTTGATGGAATTTTCTTTAAAAAAAAAGATTTTGAAGTGCCTGGAGTTGCTAACTGAAGTGATGGTTTTGTGGTGAAATCACTTATTTTTGATAAAGATACAATCACTTGAAATTTATTGTTTTTATCACTAAAAATGTATAGTTTTAGTCTTTAAATACAGGTGAATATTGTAGTAACATATTTTAATTCATGTAGCCTAATGCTACAATAACGTATCGTTTTTAATAGGTGCTTATTTTCGTTTTATGAAAACCCTTAAAGGTGCTTTTTTCATTGGAAGTTTAAAAAGTGTTTTAATTTTTAATTCTCTAAAATGAGATGTTTTCTTTACCATGTTTATTTTTGCCATTAATCATGCAAAAACATGTTTTTCACCATTGCACGCTGATAGACCTATGGTTGATGTGTCTTGCTCAGCCTCGAAGTCCAATGACAACTTTATAAAAAATCGTGACATGTGTTTAGTTGATAGAGTGAGAATACTGGAAACTTAAAATTGTAGTTCATTGTTTATTTATATAAATTGTTTATTTTTTCTACTTTTTTTTTTTACTGTAGCTCTTCAGAAGCTTTTTTTTAAAGCAATGAAAAGGCCTAGTAAAACCTCTCATCAGAAGTCTAGTTTTGTTGTATCTCTAAAGAAAATTCCAATGCATTTGTTAGCTGATACTAATGACAGAGCTGAGGTAATTACTAATTTATAAAAACGAAATTGATTACTGCACATTTATGAATATAATTCACTCTTAATAATTTTATTTTGCTTTATTTAGAATTATTTAATTGATGTTTTGAAACTTCAACTCAAAAATTCTGCCTCTACTATGGATAATGGTGCACCATTATTTATTTCTAAGCCTGGAGTTGAATTGATTCATGAACTTGCTAATCTTTTTGAGAAACAACTGTCAGTTGCAGGTAAAAATATTTTTAGTTCAACAAGAAAAGTGATTTTGAATTTTTGTTATGAGGTGCTATTCAAGTATTGTGTAAGCATGTTTTTAGCAGTGTTAGACTTCTCCCTTCATCCTTTGCTGGCAAATATAAGAAAGCAAATCACCAATTTCCATGTTATGCTTAAGTAAGAATGTTGCAACACACCCCTTTGTTTTAGCTTTGACTTTTACTATAATTATTTAACTTAAAGAATTTTAGGATTAAATTCAGAAATTCCTGAATAAAAGTAGCAACATGCTTATATTTCTTTGGAACTCTTCTAGTAATATTGAAAGTTAACTACATTCTCTATATTGATCAGTTCCTTGAAGTTAGCCTCATCAATAGCATGAAACAGTGCATTACTATATAGCATTTCTCGCTATAGTTCTGTGATATTTGAAATAATTAATATAACACGTTGCGAATAAAGTAAATTTTATATTAAAATAATGGGTTGATATCTTGAGTGAAAAACAGGCAATTATTGAATTTCATAAGTAAACAAATTAAAGCCGAAAATAGGTTCAATAATAATTAAATTAAGGGGAATGTGATTATTAAGAAAAGTGGTTGTACAGCGCTATCGTGGGATAACAATAATCCAATAGATTCAAAAGGTCACAAGAGGTTTGGATAATCAAAATTTACTGAAATTAGTTATGGTTAGTGGATTTAATTTAAAATTAAAGACTGAAAAAAGAATGTAAAAAAAAATTCCCCTCGTCATGGACTTAAGTCCGCATCTGGGAGTGTGAGGCAGAGGGGGCACCCCTTGGTGTCACAAGCAAGAAGGCACAAGAAAGAATGTGTTAAAGCATCTTAAAAAAAATTAGTTAGCTGGTGTAAACCCAGGAAAGCATTAGTCAATTAAATTTAAAAAGGGGAGAGTTTGAAAATCAGATGAAAGAGATTAAGTAAGCTCTTTTTAAAAACTAATTGAAGAGAAAAGAAAGCACGAATAGAGGGGTATCTCTCCCCACTGGAAGTGCAATGACCCGGTTGATCAGTGAGTAAAGGCGAACAAAAAATTAATATACATTACGAAAAGAAATGTTAAATTTTGCCAGACAAGATATTTTAAGAAAATTATAAGTTAAAATTGTGGAGAAAGAGAAAAAACGCTATTTTAAGAAAATTTCTTGTGAAATATCACATGCAATAAAGTTAAACTGTTATCTAAAAAATAGAAAATAAGGGTTTTAAAAAAAATTTAAGGATTAAATAAAATAGTAAATTGTCACATTACACAAAGTGTACATATGGTAAGTTCCCTTTAAAGAGATAACACGAGTTGGTTAATATCAACTGCACTGAAAAGTCTTCTATTTTTTGCTTTATGTTTTCCTTATGTAGGCAAAACTTTTAGCCTCTAAAATTACTTTAAATTAATATTTTAGCCTCTTAAATCTATTTTTTCCCCATCAAATGTGGCTTATTTCAAATTCCATTCCTTTTTGTTTTCTCTTTTATTTTTTAAAATTTTTTTGAAAATAGCTGACATAAGCATCGCCTATACCCTTCCTCTCTCCTTGCCAACATAAATAAGAAAATAAAAAAAAATTCCCTTTTTGGTGCTTACATAATATGTGGACAATTCCTTATTTATTTAAAGAAATTTATTCTAGTTGTTAATTTTTACATTATTGAATTTCTCAATAATTAATTCATTGTACAGATTTTGAAAGAACTAAAATGACTGTGTTTTATGTATAGTTATCATACAATACATCCTAAGAAATTGAAATGTGGGAATTCAAAGCACAAGCCCCATAGAACACATAAAGTTAAGATGATTTGCTACAAATGTTTTTCTTCCTTTCTGTCAACAAAAGGTTCTTACTAAGTTATCACTAAGCCCTGTGGCATAATTTTTTGGGGCTTTCTGTAATAAACCTCTCTAGCACTATCGCACATTTTTACTAAAAACAAATATACATGTTACTTATTTAAATGAACAAGAACATTGTGTTTACAAAAAAAAAGAAATATCTGGATAAAATGAAATTGTATATAATTTTTTGAATTAAATGTGTAATATTTTTTTGTGGGTGATATTCACACCATATTGAGGGAGGAAAAACACACTGATTATTTCTCGTTTTCTAAATCATCCATCACATAAAACAAAAATTTAAAATTGTGAAATTTGTAGCAATGCCGGAAAAAAAGATCAACGGCAAAATCTTGCAAATCAGACTCTTTAAAAGGGCTTGCTAAGTGCGAGTATAATAAAATAATATTGTGTTAAAATATAATAAAATAAGTATAATAAAAATAAGTATAATAAAATATAAATGAAATAAAATATAAGTATAATAAAATAATATTGTGAAAAAATAATGTGTTAAAAATATCAGATTTTAAAAACTGTCAATAGCAATAACTGCCACAAAAAAAAAAAAATCCATAGAATCATTGCGTTAAAAATTAAGTCTTCAAATGCATGATTCAAATTACACATATTGTCAGATGTATATCAGGATATTTAAAAACCATTTGAAAAACAATATCAATAGCTATTGAAAATACAATTTAAACACTACATGTATGTACCATTCTATCGACATAAATTGAACATGTCGAAAAATAATGATTTTAATGTGCTATTCAAATTTTAATTTGGGATCCCACATTTTCTGTGAAAGGACTCTACTTGCAATCATGTGAATGTGACTTGCAGCTACAAGTTCATCAGAGAACAAAAAATCACTGAAAAACCCATATTGCATTTGTTATTTCCGTAGCTAATCAATAAGTAAAAAATTACATGTAAAATCACAAAAATCTAATATTTTTTTTTTATAATTGAAAAATTAAACATGATTTAAGATAAAGCTTAGAAAAATGAAAGTTTATTATATTACTCGATACTTTTAATGTTAAATACTGTTTGACCCTCTACTTAGTCTTTATTTTATTTACTAGCATATTTACTATCTTCCAACTTCTGAGTTGTTGCTTAGCTTAAATCATATTTGACAGTAAATATTTTCTCTACAATCTTAAGTTTAGAGAATTGTTGGTGAAGATGAGATGAATGAATGATTAGCTTAGCACTAAGAAAACAATTTTTTATTTATTCATCAAGCTATTCCAATATACTTTATGTTACCAGACTCAGACTTCATCTTCATGATTTAGCTGGAATTTAAGCATGGACTATCAACAAACTGTATAATCAGGAGTGTATTAATAAATTTACAAAGTACTTTGCTATTGTTTTATACATGTAATACAATGTACTTAATATTACCATAAATGCACACTTTAGTGCTAAACTGTGGGAAAGGCAGTCAGCTCATTGATTTAGACATTGACAGTGAGATCACTGAAATTAGCTAGTCAATAAAATCAGTTTGTCATGGGAATAATTTAGATAAACATTTAATCAGCTAAAAACGTTTCTTTTTATGTTCACTAAAAAAGTGAGAAAGATGCAATGTTAGTTTAATATGCCATTCATTCTTGTTTTATATATATATATATATATATATATTATTTTATT